CCTTCCACCCAGATCTAGAGTGATCGTTTTCTCCTGTTGTTGTAGGATGCGATGGGGACCTGAGTATGGAGGCTGCAGCGATTTGCGAATTGCATCATCACGAAGAAACACATGAGTTGCCGATGCCATATCCTTAAATATGAAAGATTTTGGCTTGGCATGACACGACGCAGGAACTGGTCGAATTGTCTCCATTTCTTTTCGCAATTGATAAACCAGATCAGATACCTCTGCAGAACTGCTAAAATCTGACACTGGTGCCAAAAACTCGCCGGGGAGGCGAAGTGTTTCACCATAGACCACTTCAGCGGATGAAGCTTTTATATCTTCTTTAAAAGCAGTCCGCATGCCAAGAAGAACTAGTGGCAACGCTCTAGTCCACGTATCAACATAGCACATGAGTGCTGCCTTAAGTTGGCGATGGATTCGCTCCACCATGCCATTGGCACATGGATGGTAGCTAGTAGTGCGTATTCGCTTGGAACCACAGAAGTTCATCAGCCGCTGAAACAAGGAGGATTCAAATTGACGCCCCTGGTCGGTGGTGATTGAGCTGGGTACACCAAAACGAGCTACCCAACCAGATACTAATTTATCAGCGACTTCCTCGGCGGTCATTGAAACCATTGGCCAAGCCTCTGGCCACCGTGTGAAACGGTCGATAGCGGTTAAACAATATGTAAATCCGTTGGAGAATGGTAAGGGTCCAATGATATCAATGTGAATATGGCGAAATCTACCAGATGGGAGTTCAAACTGTCCGATGGGTGATTTATTATGTCTTGAAATTTTATTTCTCTGGCACTGTATGCAGAAACGTGTCCATTCGCGACAATCTTTGTTAATATTTGGCCAAACATAGCGTTCTGACACAAGACGCGCGGAAGCCTGTGCACCGGGATGACTAAGTTGGTGACAGCGGTCAAATGCAGATCGACGGAACTGTGGCGTTAGATAAGGTCTTGGTCTGCCAGTGGAAGTGTCACATAATAAGGTGATACTGGTTCCTGGAATTGGAATGGGCTCCAGTTTCAGAGACGAGGTTTTACGAATGTTCGCCAGTTCTTCATCTGTTTGCTGTGCCTTGGCAAGAGCTTCGTAATCTTGTTCTAAGGTCACAGCATTAATACGAGACATTGCATCAGCGACAACATTTTCTTCCCCTTTAATGTGTCGTATGTCAGTCGTGAATTGACTAATAAAGGACAATTGGTTCAGTTGGGGGGGAGGAAGTTTCTCTCGGCGTTGTACGAACGCGTACAACAATGGCTTATGGTCAGTGTAAATGGTACAATGTTGGACCTCTAAAATGTGTCTAAAATGTTGTACACTTTCGTACACTGCCAGAAGTTCCCTATAATATGCTGGCCACTGACTCTGACGAGGAGTTAATTTCTTGCTGAAGAAAGCAAGAGGTGCCCAGTGTCCGTTGATTTTCTGCTGTAAACAGGAACCGATGTGAACGCTGGAAGCGTCAGTGAAAAGGCCAAGTTCTGCACCGTTTACGGGGTGTTGAAGAAGTGTCGCATTGCTAAGACTCTTCTTGCAATTCTCGAACTGTTCAAGGAGCTCAGGTGTCCATGGGAATGGTTTCACGCCCTTACCTTGAGTGGAAACAATGGCGTCAATTAATGAAGCTTGATATTGAGCAGCATGAGGAATGAATCGGCGATAAAAATTTATCATGCCGAGGAATCTACGCATGCCTTGCACTGTTTGAGGTGGAGGAAAAGTTAATAAATCCTGTACGCGAGTTTGCGGTGGACGCGTGCCTTCTGCGTTGACAATATAGCCAAGAAACCTTACCTCTTTTGCACCAAAAGTACACTTAGAGACATTGATGATAACTCCATTTTCCTTGAAACGATTGAAAAGGATGCGGAGGTGTTCCTTGTGGCTGGTCTCATCTGGAGAAAACACGAGAACGTCGTCAACGTAAGGAAAACAGAAATCAAGACCTCGCGTGACCCCATCGATAAAGCGTTGGAAGGTTTGTCCAGCATTTCTTAATCCAAAACTCATGTATGGAAATTCGAAGAGGCCAAACGGGGTGGTGATTGCTGTTTTGACAATATCCTCTTCTGCAACAGGAATTTGATGGTAAGCTTTTACCAGATCAAGCGTGCTAAAGATAGTTGCTCCACTAAGGCAGTTGGCAAAGTCGTGAATATGCCTCACTGGATAACGATCTGGAATAGTCCTGGCGTTCAAGGCACGGTAATCGCCACAAGGACGCCATGTGTTATCCTTTTTTAAAGTCATATGGAGCGGAGATGACCATGGACTGTCAGATGGTCTTGCAATACTAGCGCGCACCATATCTTCAAATTCCTTCTTGGCAGAAATCAATTTCTGCGGGGCGAGACGACGTGGCCGACAAGAGACAGGAGGACCATCTGTAGTCTTGATGTAATGGAGAGTGTTGTGCTTGACAACTCTTGGAAGTCCAGGAGGTTTGGTGATTTCAGAAAATTCTGAAAGTAGAAAAGTAAATTCATTACTTTCTGAAAGAACAACCTTGACACTAGCCTGTTCGGACACGGCGGTAGCAGCAGATGCAGATAAACCGGTGATACCATCGACTAACCGTTTGGTTCGACAATCGGGTAGCAGGTGGTAATGAGCCAAGAAGTCTGAGCCGATGATGGCGGCGTTGACATCGGCGACCATGAATCGCCAGACGAAACTTCGACGCAGTCCAAGGTCTAAAGTAAGACTGATGGTGCCAAACGTCTTGATGCAACTTCCATTTGCTGCGCTTAGTTCAAATTCTGAGATTTTCCTCGGACTTGGAAGCCAGCGGTGCGGGAAACAACACAAATCTGAACCCGTGTCAATAAGAAAGTAGCGCTTAGAAATTTTGTCAGTGATGAATAATCGACGGCCGTAATTTTCAATGGGATTGCGATCGGTTGCCGTCGCTATCGATCGCTCGTCGAGTTTTCCGACGACCAAGAGCAAGGCCCAATGCAATGTGTTGCCTTGGAACCAAATTTCTTATGGTACCAGCAAATTCTTGAAGAGCTGTGTGGTGAGGAGCCACGCGAAGGAAGTCTATTTCTAGACGAAGATCTGGAACGAAGCGCGCGTTGACGATGCGCTTGAGTCAAAGCTGAAACTTCCTTACTGAGTTGATCAATGCGGTCCGTTAATGATTTTAAAGTTTGTTCAATATCAGAAGCAGTCGATGGTCCAGCAATACCACAAATATTTATCGCACCTGGAGATACCTCGATTATTTTATCAGCCAAGTCCGAAAGCTTGTCTAAGCCAAGGTCGGCTTGGGCTGCCAAGATCGCTTGAACTTGGGAAGGAAGACGTCGAAGCCACAGCTCGCGGAGCAGGTTGTCGTCAGTTAACGATGTTCCAGCCAATGACCGAAGATGCCTCAGGAACTGTGATGGCTTTTTATCGCCAAGCTCTTCGATGCTGAGGAGTTGCCGGACCCGCTGCTGTTGAGATGCCGATAAACGCTTAATGAGGGTATCCTTCAATGTTTGATATTTCCTTTCTTTAGGAGGGTTCATGACAATGTCCTCAATTTCTAAGGCTAATTTATGATCAATCTGGCTTATCAGATAGCTGAACATTGTGGTATCTGAAGTTATCCCTGCTAAATGGAATTGAGCCTCTGCGTGAGCAAACCACACAGATGGTGCGTGGTGCCAAAATGGTGGAAGTTTGACAGACACCTTGTAAACCTCACTCATAAGAGCCTGATGATGAGAGTCAACAGGTGATGTGATGTTGGTCGTCGAAGCGAATTCAGCTTGTTGCTTCCTTGCTGCAGCAACTTCAGCCCGCAGGCTTTCCAATTCCGCTCGTAACTCTTCAGCCATGATGTGGAACTGGACACTGATCAGGAAGACAAGGCTAAGAATGTGTAACTAAAATAAACCGAAAATAATATTGAAGATGACGTGGGGGGACGGTATTAACAATTTGAAACAAAATACATGCAACTTAATAAAAATTAAAATAACAATTTAAATACAATAAAACTCAATACAAAATTGCTGAATTAAAGAATATAAAACACCATGCATCCGTTTTTATAAATTCCGAAAATTCTGTCAGACCGTCTTTTGTTTTTCCTGATGACCGACGCAGCTGGAAAAATCCGATGCAGAAGCAGTGATGCAGTGTCGGGGATCCAATGCTCGATGTGTCGCTTTCGACGAGGTCGCAGGTCACAATAACACAGTGAATAAAACTATTTCTTGAAATTCCAATGAAAATAAAAATTTCCTTTAGTACTTTTTGTTCGGGGTCACCAATTTGGGGGTTGCGTACATCGTTCAATTCACCAGAATATTCAGTGTCAACTTCGACTAGGATGGTTTGGATATAGGAAGATAAACGCTTCTTAAGTATTCAACGAATTTTATAATTATCAAGACCACTGAAAATTATCTTCTTGCGTTGCTACTCACTCGCAGAGATTATGTAATAATCATTGTACACCAGAGACATAAACAAAATGAAAACTATAAAGAGTATATATTCTAGGTACATAAATTTCGCTACACTTTTTTTGGTATGTCCGTGATTTTGTCAACCATCTGGGCACTCTTGCTCCTTGTCAACATTTTTCCATAGGTCTGATTCACGAATATTCGAAGAACCACTTTGTAACAAAAAAAGAACACTAAATAAAGAAAATAATATATATATTTTTAAGACGTTATTGATATTAAGTCTAACTGTCATCTGTTGTCAGTCTCATCCTTGCCTATTAGTTGTCTTTCACAAGACCAGCCCGTCTGCAAGCAAAAAGTTTATAACAGTATACTATACACATCGATACTCTATTCTGACTGCGAGGTTGAAAGAGAAAATGAGTAATACAGTCGTTACAATAATGAGAATTTTAATTTATTACCATAATTTTAGTTCGAACTTAGTTTCAACATATCAATATTATTATTTCGAAAATTTACGCAAAGAACTATGCATGGCACTTGCACACAGACATGACATGACTCATCAATCAATTTCGTGTCAGTAAAACGAGTGGCAACACTGACCCTTGTGTCGTAAAAGGGTGAGTGAACCGCCTCATTGTTATTTATTGCATTTGTCTCTAAAATACATTAATTAGCCATTTTACGGGTACAGCGAGTGCAATAACATAGTCTACGACAGGCATGCCGATGTGAGTAATATATGAAAGGTGTGGCACGGTGCTGGGGCGTTGTTTCGTGGTGCAGTGACGTTATTGTTGTGAAAAATATTTTGCCTATCTCGTAAGATGACCGAATATAAATTGGTGGTGGTAGGCGCCGGAGGCGTTGGTAAATCTGCATTGACTATACAACTTATACAGAATCATTTTGTGGACGAATATGATCCTACGATAGAAGATTCGTATAGGAAACAAGTGGTGATAGATGGTGAAACGTGCCTGTTGGATATATTGGATACAGCTGGTCAAGAGGAATACTCGGCGATGAGGGACCAGTACATGCGAACAGGAGAGGGATTCCTGTTAGTGTTCGCGGTAAATAGTGCTAAGAGCTTTGAGGACATAGGCTCTTATCGAGAGCAGATCAAGCGTGTGAAGGACGCCGAAGAAGTACCCATGGTGCTGGTTGGCAACAAGTGCGACCTGCAGGCGTGGGCCGTCAACATGGCGCAAGCACGTGAGGTAACATGAAGTTTTTGTTTTTGAATCTGGCCTTGTAAACATCTGTGATAGAAAATCTCATACATGTGCTTAACATTATATGAAGTTTTTTAAATTTAAGCTGTTACACTACTTACTAATCTTGTAATAACACCTGTAAGTCTAGTTATCAAAATCTTGTTTTACCTAAAATCTGACTTACAGATTTTTACATGGCCATATGTTCATTTTTAAAATTGTTTTGCTGATTCCAATCCTAACAACTTAATGAACTTTTAATTATATATCAGTATAATATAAACACCTTTTAAGCCTTGTATTGAAGCTTTAACATAACCTTTAACAATAACAAATATGTTAAAGTACCGGTTTAGGAAATAATAATGAGAGAGCTAATGCAATAATTCTCAGACATAAATCTTAACATTAATTGCTCTTATAGTGCAATCCAGCCTTAGAAATATATTGTATTGTTCAATATGTAGAATTAACTATTTATGTCTTCCATATTAAATTGAAGTAAAAGAAAATCAGAATGTATATGTGTCTTGTCAAATCAGACAAATTATAACAAAAATCTTGAAATCTGATATGAGGTTTTTGTGCAAATATTTATTTATTTACTCGGGGTATATCAATATTATGAAGACAAAAAAAAATAGTTAATTTTTAAATGACACTTAACTAGCATTTATGACAGTTATACACAGCATTATTACAATTAAAATATTCCATAAGTGTTTACATTACAATTACAAGTTATAGAAATTAATTAATAAATTATTCTGCAAAAATAAACTTAAGTGATACACAATACAATTCCAACAGGTAATATAAAATTCTAGTCAAAATCAAGTACCAGATGTCAAATAATTACTTAAATTGTATAATGTTTGCAGTATTTTATGTTTAAAAGTGTCACAAATTGTCATGAAAGTTATCAAGGAAGTTTTTTTGGAGCGTGCAAAATTTCACAGTAAACAAATAAATTTTTTAAATATTTTAACATAAACATTCATATTTCTAACGTAACTGTAAATTAGGACTGATGAAAAGAGTACGAAATTTTTTATACTTATTCTATGAGAAATTCAGACTTATAATCAACAAGAATTACTTCTATTACATATACATTATATTAAGTTAAATATTGTTTATTACGTCCCTTTAAGAAAGTATGTAATGATTTGACAATGCAAAGCAAGTTTTATTCAGTTGTTTGGTTCATATTTTTTCGTTTTTAAAAGCCAAGCCAGCTTTTTAGGATACAAGTCCTGTGTTGTTAGGGAAAAAATACACCCAGGCTAAGAACAATTATTTATAAATCACACAAAATATTTACCTTTTGTGGGGATCAAACCATAACACTCAATCCATGGTCAGAAGACAGGCAACGAGAATTTATATATGGTACACATATATTGGTATATTAATATGAATATATATCGGAGGATACTTCTAGTAAGATTGTTAGACAATAATATGGAGAAAAATCCAGAAGTAACATAATATGATACGAAATGGATGAAAGTGAAAAAAAAAACATTTAATATGACAGTTAAGTAAAAAAAAGGAAATAGCTTGTTTGCAGTATATTTAGACATAGAAACAAAAAACAAATATCTTCATGTTAGCATATGCAAAAATAAACTCTTATCTACTTTCTGGAAAATCAAGGAAAGTCATGGAAAAGTCAGAAAAGTAAAAGATGGTCAGGGATAGTCAGTGAAAGTCAGTGAAAAATTTAGGTCAACTTTAAAGATGATATAAGATCTTTATTATTACAATGATTTTAAATCTTGCAAATTGATCAATTTGTATATTTCAACCAATGAATATTTGTTTAATGCGTATTTGGAAATACAATCAATTCAAACTGTGCTTAAGACCTCACTTTTTAATTTGGAGTCTTACCTGTTACTGTGATATTAAGTTACAATTTTACCAAAATTTGGGAACGTAAAATAAAGCCTGACGATTGCTTTAAGGTTTCTTCAACAACATCGCCTCTAACCTTTAAATCCTTTTATGTGGAATTTTATGTCCATCAAACACAGGCATCAATATCAAACTTGAAAAATCTCAATTAATGACATCTGACTACACAAATTCAAAACCAGTAGGCAAAGCCGCCTTTACTTTTCGTTTCTTTTCGTCACGAGAAAGATTTTCGTCGAATCTCACCTCAGTGTCTCGGGACAAAATTATTCAACCAGCGTGTGTTGCTAGGATAGGATAGAATAGAATAGAATACATTTTTATTGACAGAACACACCCCATACACAGTTTACAACAAAAGGATGACTTACGCAAGCGAAACGTGGTCGTTTACTATTATAATTATAAATTCACCCAGCGATGGATGGAGAGTGCAATGCATAATGTTTCTTTACCTAAGTTACTGACATTTCACTAAGAATTGCTCAGTTGAAGTAGCAGTGGGTGGGACACACCGATGGCAGATGCGAAGTACAATACTCAGTGGGTAGTCCCCTCTGCCAGTCCTCTGCTCAACCGTGAGCGTCGTACGACTGTTAATGATGATGGTGATGATGGTCGAACACAGAATCTCCTCCTTTTCAATTTCTCTTCTCTTTTCGTACACGGAGTGGTCGTGGTTATGGATAGTCTGGTTGATTTGTTGCGGCTTTTGCGAGACTTCTCCAACTATCTCTATTGTAGCACTACTTGTACACTCAATATGGGAGCAATTCATAATTTTGAAGAACGCTGGCCCTCCACTCTTCCTCGTCTCATCAAACGGTCCAATGAGCTCCCGTTACGAGTAATATGTCAATTTTTTTTTAAAGAATTTGCATTTGCGCAATCTACGAAAGTCTTTGTTTGATAAGTAGTTCCTGCAGGATGGACACGTTAGTGTCATGAGCTGTCCATTTTATTCTAGTACAGAATATACAGTATATATGTGTGTACAGAGAATAAGATCTGACAGTCCAGTCATAGTAATAAAAGATGGTTGTATGATGAAAGGCTTACAATTGAATGCGAAGAAGACAAACGTATTTGAAACAGATGATACCAGAACAAATGTACGAACAGAACAATGTAGCATTGGAACCAAGTGAATGCCTTTTATATCTTGGATGCGCTTGCAGCAGGGATGGAGGGTACACCGCTGACATATATAGGAGAGTGGGCGCTGGGAATAATGTGAATATCACGTTGGGAAAAGTTCTTGGTAGCAAAACCACACAATGCGGTGCTGATCCCAACGCAAATGTACTAATGTATGGTAGCGAGAGTTGTCAGAAAGAGTATGCAAGTAGAATAAATGCAGTCACGATGCGTTCCTTACGTAGAATTTGTCAAGTAACTCGCAGACCGCATTTGTAATGAAGATATAAGAAAGAGAATTGATGTAAAAGATGGTATCGTCCTAAAAATCATGCTCTGTTGGTTCGGGCATGTGGAAATAATGCCAGATAAAAGAATAACCAAACTGATGATACACAACGCGAAAGTGGAAAGATTCAAAAGTCGAGCATAACGGAGACAGGCTTTAATGATTCAATCAAGAATACACATTTCACGAATAAATAAATCGCTAGAAGGTGATAACAGAAGCCTAAGTGGCGAGTTTGTACGAAAAGAGTAATGTCAGCGGATAAGGCGAAAGATGTACCTAAGAACAGTACTTTGTGACGTTCGGTTTTTTCGTAGTCCAATAACAGGTCAAGGGAAATTTTCTTATGTACCGTATCTGTGTACCTTTTACCTATTAACACAGTGGTGATAGTGTCATTCATTTTTACTAACTTAACTCTTGGATCGTTTAAAACTGTTATTCAATGAGCGCTCACCCACTACCCGTGCTTATACACTGTTTTTTTTTTATTTATCACAGTTCCTTTATTTCACACAAACTATGCACAAAACTCAATTATATTTTGATAAAAAAGATTTTACAATTAACGTTTTACAACCGTTGATATAATTACTCGTATCATATTTTAAACACCACATTATAAAATTGTTGGTAGATTATTTATAAACGGAAAATGGAATTTAAAACGCAATCACACATTCAAAAACACCCGCGCACGCGCACGTCGTGCTGTGCGTAATGAAAATCCGCAACTGGCATTAACATACGCTAAAAATTTACTACTATAATTATATCTAAGAAATTATTATATTTCATCACTTTTGCATTCACAATAATAATATACTGAAAAATATTCTTAGTGAAAAATACTTAAAAAAATCGACTTTGTCCCTGGCACGCTGAGACGGGATTCGAACCCATGTCCTTTCGCAATCCGGGCGACTGCTCTAACCACTGAGCTATCCAGGACCTAACAAGACTGACGAATTTTTTAAGCACTTGTTACTTGTAAGTAGATTTTTAAGCGTTTTTCACTAAAATATGTTAAAAATTGCTCTGAATTTTGTTTATGGATTAGATAGATAAATAATAATATTATCATTTCTTATTTGAAATTTTTTCTATGTGCAAGAATCACATTGCAACTTGACTTCTGAGATCGAGAAATTAACATCTAGAAGTTGCTTGCAATGTGCATTGGTTAAATAAAAAGCCGACCATAAAACCGTGTTGGTAACGTTGCAGGTCGCGCGGAGTTACGGCGTGCCTTTCGTTGAGACATCGGCTAAGACCCGCATGGGCGTCGATGACGCGTTCTACACTCTCGTGCGGGAAATACGCAAAGACAAAGACAGCCGCGGCAAGAGGAACCGGAGAGGGAACAAGCTGCCGCGACGCAGGTTCAAGTGCACCCTTCTGTAAATTATTTTATTAATGCATTAAAATCGATAATAATAAAATAATCATTAATGGATACCGACTGAACGTTCGAACCAGACTCGGTTCTGGGAAAGTATTACGAATTCTTAAATGCTTTGGCGTACAATGAAAAGCTCTTATTGCGTAACTGAAGATTACCAGGGACGGTCTCTGTTAAAATAATGATTGTATGTACACATTTCAAGTACATGCCCTATCCGTTTTATCAGATTAGTGTTTGTAAAATAAACTAATTGTAATGGTATTACATTTTTACCGGTGACGTAATATTTCTATGAATATAGTAAGTTACATCTCCACCAATGAAAAATTGTCAAGTTTTGTGTTGATAATATGAAAATCATCAATTTTTCTTTAATGTAAACCCAGTTTTATTATTTAGTTTGTCATAAACTCATGTTTACATCACGAAAATTGACGTTTTGTATTTGGTGAAGACTCGCCTTTAGTATTACAGCTAACGTTAGTCCGCATACAGTCACAACGGTTGATACATAATTTATCTGGTGATTCCTGAAAAAAAGTCGCGACATTAGATCTGTGGTATGTTTTTTCTCACTTCAAGTACAAAATTCAAAATAAAATACCTAATTATCGTATAATAGCCGATTGGTCTACCGGTTATTATATAGATATTTTTTTAAATTTAAACTTGTCGTGAGAACAAATGTGGCCATGGATCTGATCAAGAATACTTTACTCAAAAACTACCCATCTATATCTCGTCTCTTTAGGCTTCATTTGTGAGATTGGTACAGGCTCATAAGCTGCGGACCTAATTACAGATTGAGTTTCATAATTGCAATCAATACACCACAATTTAGTTATGTCACAAGCATTTAGGTTGATGAAAGTATTGTAATCTCGTTAAATGAAGTATTCAAGATTACATGCTAATATATTTGCAGTTTTCCACGTGATTACGTATCTATTATTTATTTTTTATGTACAAAATATATCTTAATATTATAAAATTAAGTGCTTCATAGTTAAGTGTGAAAGTTAAAAATAAACTCAATCTCAAATTCTCGAGGTGCTATTAAAAATAATGGTACATTTGCTGTAGGGAACGCCACCAAATCATAACATGGATGAGCGAGATAATCATAACATGGATGAGCGAGATAATCATAACATGGATGAGCGTAGATTACGTTTTATTAGGAACAAATATAAAATAATGCTCTGACATAAAATTCAAAACTGACAAAAAATCTTCGTTGGTTAATTTTTTCAATGAATCAATGTGACCTATTGTAACAATGGTTGTGCGCAATAATACATTACAATTTAAAGTACAATTTGGTTGTTAGTGCTATGTTTCTAATTCAAGCCATATATCGCATTCATTAAAAAACAATTACTAATATTTACTTGTATAACATATCCCCGCCAACTCTATGAAGAGTGTACAGTGTAACACACAATTCATTATGTAATAAAACGGGTTATTCAAAATCATTATTTATTTATTTATCAATCCCGATATTTTACGATCTTCGTGTGTGAATTTACAATAATTGTCAAGTAAAAGTTATCAGAACACAAATATAAAATGAGTTTTATTTTCAGTATTTATGCTACTTTTTATTATATTTTTATTGTGAATTAAAAGTTTTATATTGCGTCAAACATCTGTAATAGACTAACTTTCATCGGGCACCCAGTCAAGTCCATTTGAAGAACTTAACTTTGTTACACTGTGCTTTGTTTTCTATGCTTTACACAGTATTTTTACCAACCGCTAGAGATCAAACGCAAGCTATTATTGCCAAAAGGCAATAAGGCTTACGCGTACTTACGGGCGCGGGAAATCGCCATTTTTGTTACAACTTCGCGCATTATACCTAAAATCGTGGCTAGCCGGCCTAGTGGTACTGGTAATGCTAAAGCGTTATAACTTCATTGTAATGCACACTCGATGATGGATAACAAGCTTTGGCCTTGGCTTATCTTGTTAGTGAAGTGTAACAATGTAAGTTGCTCATATCAATTTATTTATTGTTGTTCGACTACCAGGAACATTTTATGAAACAAGTCTATTTATATAACTAGCTGTGTCATCTAATACTTCGTTAGTACCTATTTTGTCTTTGTAATTAATAACTATTTATATAAAATAGAAAATGAATATGTTTCAAAGCTTACAGTTTAAAAAAAATACGTACAAGGTTCATAAAAATAGAACTTCAAATTCTTCATTTCAACTTACATTACGTTATTGTAATGTAAGTTTTCAAACATTGATCGCTCTCCTTGATACCTACTAATAGTTTGGTAAACTCAAAAGAAATAGATTCGATATCAAATAATTGTTGTTATAAGATAAAAAAATATCGAGGTCATTGTTGAATGTTTTCTACTGTAGCTAATTTATATTTAGAAATAACTTTCTTAATATTATACCTAATGCTATTAGTATTAATTTAAAAATAATAATGGTACTGATCAATTCGATTTTTTAAGTAGATAGGTAGGTACCTAAGTAATACTTGAACATGTTTGTTTTCTGTTGTTTTTTACATATTAAAACAACGTACTGATAAATCGATGTACTAACCTATTATATGTAGATCATACGCATAAATATATATATGTTATAAATCACTGATCCTAAAAATAACTCTTACTGCTCGCTTTTCAAAGTATTTATACTTTGTCAATCCTTATAATATGACGGTGTTTAAAAAAGTAGATTGTGTGTAGAAAAGTTATGTATATTTTGGACATTTTATTATAGTTGAGAGTGCCGTAAAGAAAACAAATTTGTACTGCTACGTATTTGGAGTTGCCAGATAGTAATAGTAAAATATCTCGCCAAAATTTCATAAAATCGGGATAAAAATCGGTACGTTCATCCTTCGTCTCGGAAAAAAATATTGATGATTAACAAACAAGATAATGGAATTATTTCTAGGTTGTTTCAGCCGTTACCGAGCGGTTGATTAAGTGATTTTATAAATTTAAATAATTTGACAGGACGTTTACTTCGAAAAGTCGGGACGATCCAGACTGATCCCGACAATCTGGCAACCCTATACGCATATGAAGCTAAATAAAGTAATAGAACAAAATAAGAAAAACAAAGCAATTATTTACTTTTATTAAAAGATGCAATTTTAGCATTAAAATTTGAATCTTACAAAAACATGTACGTATAATATAAAAAAGACATTATCTGAATTTTCACTTTTTGTATCGTTGTAGTATATCTACAATGTGGCGCCCCTTTTCAAAACCTCTTAAGTTATTATAAAACCAAAAACCAGTTATAATTTCTTTCGAATTGGTCTGTCGTATATACCGTTTGAAGAGTAGTCGCAGTTTTGAATTTTCATTTTTTCAGTTATATGTATTATTATTTTATTAATTCAATACCAAAATCTCCTTTTTTCTTTTATTATGTTCATGTCGCAGCCAATTGCAGCCAAGTCGCAGTTAAAACAGACATTCATTTAAACAATTGGTTTAAAAGCTGTGATGTCAGAATCGATGTATTTGCCACATCATGAAAAAATATTTAAGATATTCGAACCAAAAAAAACCGCCCAAACACCTGCATGGACTCACATAAATGTAAACTAGTATGATAAAGAAGATTTTAAAAAAATTATGGTGATAATACATTGGGAAAATTTTCAGTGTTTGTCTACGATTGAAGCTATGGGACATACTAATTATTTAAGCAGCTGCTGCTGCTCGAAAAAAAGTTGATGGAGATATTTCATTTATGTAAAGCAGAATTACATTTAAAACGATCGACAGGATGGCTGACATTAAAGCTGTCGTAACATTAAACTAGCATATCTATCCACCACCGCAGCTTTAGTTTCTCTTTGTTTACAAAATGGCGTTAACAGCCGAACCAGCGGCAGCGGTCCATACATATCTGTATATTAGACCAAATTTGCCAGTGTAATTTAATAGTGACAATTTATGAATTTACCTACAAGCGATAGAAGGGAATATAAATTCCAACAATTTTTTTTTTAATTGTAAGGTTATGCAATTAGTCATCGAGGTAATGTTATTCTAATGTCACGTATATTTTTCTACTTAGTGTGAATTCATTGACAGTTAATTGGCAAGACTTTTGAAAGTTGCACTTTACAACGCTGTCTTTGGCTGTTTTAAACAATTGGCTGCAACATCCGCACAACCTGCACATTGTCCAATTTACATAAAATAGGTAAAGTTATAAAAAAAAATGTGTTTTACGAATTTTATAATAATCTTGATATGTTTGCAGACGTCTGTAGATAGGTACTAAGTTATGTATTCATTTTTTTATATTACTTTAATATTTGTAGTACATAAATTGTGTTATGATTTTTAAGATTTTTCTCACGAACTTAAAGCTGCCATGGTATAATAGGTGAATGAAATAAGTTATAATCATTTTATAATATTTTATTTGTCATATCGATCGAAAATGTCAATTTATTTTTCTTAGTAACATCGTTAAGTATCTTTTATATTATCCATCGTATTTTAGAAACGAAAATTGTAATAAAGTCAACTTTGATGCTAGTGCACAATTTTGTTGGAAATAGTTTGTATTTAAATATTAATTCTGTAACGGTATAGCACAAGAATGTGTGCTAATTGCTATAAATAAAAATTGATGAGCCAAATTATCCGTTTTGTGTATAAGTTGTCCCCGATCTTGTTACTGTTTTATAATATTGTGTCTGTTCTTTTATAACTCAACGCTCGTGTTAATGAATCTTTTATTTAGACATCATCATCAGCCCTTTTACGTCCCTACTGCAGGGGCTCAGGCCTTCCTTATGGATGGTTAAGAACTATTAGAAGAAATTTATTTAGACATAACCTACAATGTTTATTATATTTTACATTGACAATGCTATATTAAAAAATACTCTTAATGAAAAATGCTTATAATATATATATATATATATATATATATATATATATATATATATATATATATTAAGAATAACTATTTTAAATTATAGAATGAATGTACTGACCAAAATGTACCGATGTCAAATCTTACGTCTGTAAGGAAGGACCATTGTGAAGCTCATTAGTTGACGTAGGCGACGAACACCAACGAATAGCTTCATTGTTTAGTGATCGAAGAATAAGGTTTATAATTGAATATGCTGTATATATATACAATAAAACATTCTACAAAAAATATATATTTAGATGACAAGATAACTATATGTTTCGTCTATTTGAGAACTTTTGCTAGTGTCGCCATCTAGTGCGATGCTTTTTAGTGTTTTCTTTTTTTAAATAATTCCTCATTGATTACTTCTCATAAATATTTATCTAAAAGTATATTAGCGGTGTTGTCTTATTGACAACTATTATAACCTTTCTAAACTGATATAGTAATAGGGGTTAAAGTATGAAATTGCCGATTTGTACTGAAAATGAAAATTATTTAATTTTTAACAAATCTATTTAATCAAAATAGTTAACATTATTAATTATTATCTATACATTGCTGCCATTTAATAGGAAGGTCATTTATGCCTTTGCGATAGAACTCTGAGGATCTAGACTGCACAAACCGTGTGAAAGCATTTTGTACTGCCTGGGAAGAAAACTTCTTGTCACGAAGATAATTGTCCAAACCACGATAAATGGTAGTCCGTTAAGAGCAAGGTCTGGCGAATACGGAGGATGACGAATGGTTTCTAACTGCAGTTCTTGAAGGGTCAAAACTGTTTCTCGTGCTGTATGAGGTCTCGCGTTGTCATGGAGCAATAATGGTGAAGATCGATTCATGAGTCGGGGCTGTTTTACTGCTAGTTTTGCCAACATTGTACGGAGTTCGGCACGATAGACATCTGCCGTTATTGCTTGACCAGATCTGAGAGAACTAGTGAATAACACGACGCTGAGACCACCAAACAATAACCATTATCTTTTTATTGGTAATGTAGGAACCGTTATGGTGAAGGTGTGGTCCTACTAGATAATTGAGACAACTGGCAAAGGAGACTAAAGGATAATTATCTCCTTCCGAGCTAGGTGTTGTAAGCCCGGGGACCGAAACTTATTATGGACGATGCAGTTTTCTTTGTTCATTTAGAGCCTTATAATATTCTCATTTATAATGTTTGTATTGGTACAGCGCCATCTTATTACTGGGTGTTGAAACTTCTTGCAGTTCGTCTTGCTATCGATCGCTGTGACGGACGATGCTAGTCTTCTCGCTTCGATTGTTGTGACGATGTTAGTGCGATGTATTAGATGTCGATACGTATCCGTCGCCACAATAAGTTTTGTTTTAGAATACTGTTGCGGCGTTTGACCTGGGGTCAGCCATTGCATTTTTCTTTTACGGCTATCATAAAGAATCCACTTTTCATCACATGTCACAATTCTATCTAATATGCCTTCATTTCTGTACCGATTCAACAAGTCAACACAAGTTTCATCACGCGTTTCTTTCTGCAGAACAATCAAATCATGAGGTACCTATTTTTCGTATTTTTTTTTTATTGATTTGAAGCAAATGAGTAAATATTATGGGGAATGTAACGTTAAACCATGCCGCTAATTCCTGGGTAGTTTATCTGTCTTAATTCATCGTTAATCACCTGTGTGGGCGGTCTTCCTCGTGGCTCGATCTTCAAGTCGAAGTTTCCATCACGAAAGCGTTTAAACCAAAATCGCACGGTGTGTTTATTAGCAGATCCCTCTCCAAACGCAACATTGCTATTGCGGGCGCGGTTCTGCCGCGTTATTTCCGCGTCGGAACTCGTATTCAAAAATCACTCGAAATTTCGCAGTATCCATCTTTCTTGTAATTTGTGCTGCCACCTAGTGACATAAAATTTTGTAGTTTTTTTATTTTTTTTAAATACTTCCTCATTCTATTCTCTTTGGTTTAACGTATAGATCGTCCAATTTGTGCTGCCATGTTGTGAGGTATATTTAGTTTGTATTTTCTTTATTTTTTAAAAAAGAAGAACATCATAGAAACCATGTGAAAAAAGTTTCTTTCGAAAACCTCAAACCATGAAGATTCTGTGTCAATTCTAGGAACCTATTTCAATAAAACGGCAATTGCATACTTTAACCCCTAGTATTTAGTTAATGAGGAAGTATTTAAAAAAAAACATAAGTTCCCGAAATTAAATTCTCCATGACAACTCTTCCTGTTTTCTTTCATGTATAAAAGTAAATTAATCTTCAAAACTCATTAAACAACTTATTTTCTATTTGTTCTTTTTCGTATTTGTATTGATAGGTATTTAAGTTTAGAACTTTTCAAATTTCAGTTTTTAATATGTTAGTTAAAAGGAACGGAAATGACTGTCTTTGGTCCATTCGTTTCCTGCAAAAATCAACTTTTGCTAGAGTCGCCATCTAGTGGACGTGCATTTTTAGTGCTTTCGTTTTTTTTTAAATACTTCCTCATTATTTGAAAACGTAATTTCTATGAAACAAAAGAAATACAAATCATGCTCGAGTAGCGATACTTTTATAATATCGATCTATATCCCTCGATACCATATGAGTACTCGGTATCGATACCAGAGCTGATACTTTGAATGAACTAATGATGTGCCGATTCGATTATTATACACATCGATTAATTGATTATAGTATTACTCGTAATCGATTCGTGTCAACGATAATTAAATATTTTTACCCCAAAATTTTATTAATGATTTCAGATTAATTCCACCGTATTTTAAAGCCCTCCAAGTTAAGGAAAAATAGTTAAAAATCAATTTTAAGATAATGTTTACTATACCAGCATTGTGCATGCAAAATTTATAGAATTAAACTAGCTGTATCTGCGATATCGTCCGCGTGGAAAGTAGCCTTAGTAATTCCTTATTACATAAGCTATCTGCCAGTAAAAGCCGTCAAAATTGGTCTAATAATTTCAGAGTTTAGCCGGAACAAACAGACAGACAAAAATATAAAAAAAATATTATTTTGGTATATGTATGTACATTGTATACTTACACGTGCGTTTAGTAAAAAAAACGGTTAATTTGTATTTGTTAAAATAAAACTGTAAGATCCGTTCATTCATTCATCGGGAGTTCCCCGACCAAAGAGTAAAGTTACCTATTTGTTCGTAGGAGTATTCCAGGATTGCCATAACAAGTAATAGAATATCTACTAATAATATTCACATTCGCGATCAGCTATGGGTTGCTGAACCATCAAAGTAAAGTAAGCAGGTACGTACTAACGTTTTGAACTATTCCTATTGCTAACATTTTAAGAAAAAATCGATGGTTAATCGTCGATTATGAAATCATAATCGATAGCAACTGATTATCTGAAAAATCGATTAATCCCTAAGTCACGTCATTCTCAAAATGTCATAATTTCAATTCTGTGGTCTCGGTGTTTGGATTTTGAGAAGAGAAGGCTTTTATTTTCTGTAATTTTCATTAATCATGGACGCCAAAGACGTCTGTGTTGAAATTGAAAATGACGCGTTCTATAGTAAGTTTCTAGATGAAAATATAAAACCATTAACCGGTGAAACTATATCAGTCACTGACCAAGTTACAAAACTCGCTTTAGGTATTGAAAAACTGGGTAAAACCCTAGAAAAGCAAGTGTTGGCTAAACATAATGATCTTCTCACTCAAGCTAGCCACATAACTGATTTAGAAACAACATTAGCATCTGTACAAAATCAAGTGCAGAATCTACTAAAAGGTGCCGAAAAACTTCAAGATCGCATACATATTCCCTATTTTGCTCTCGAAAATCAAACTATAATGCTTGAGAGAGTTCAAACTACCTGCAATCTACTTAGACACAGCACTAAAATAATAGCTTTATGGAATAAACTTATAAATGTTGGAGACCATCCTGCTAAAGAAGCCATTATCCTTTTTGAACTTGACGAGTTAATAGGTGATTATGACTTTGCAGGCATTGTTTTGTTAGAAGAGGTTTTGAAAGAAGTGGAATCTAGACGAAAAGAATTGCTCACAAATTCTATAGCCGCATTACAGTCTAGTCTTTTAAATGGTGACAAGACTAAATTACTTCAGTGCTTTAAAGTTTTTCATAACTTACAATGTACTGAAGAACAAATCAGAAATACTGTCCAGAATATTCTTAATGAATTGCAGAGAGACATTGCCACGAGCTTAAATGTACAAATGGTTTCAATAGAAGTAAAAAAATCAAGCTCTGGACGTGTAGCACCAGGAAAAGCGAATATCATGAATGCACAAGATTTCAAAATGAAACTATGGGACAACATAGAGAAATTATTCAAAATAGAAATCTATAATGGATGTGCAAAAGTGATAATGTTACAGAACGCCATAAATGAGTTGCATGCTATAGGGAACTTCAGAAACATAACAAAAAATTTTTGGAGTAACTTACTACAAATTTTTAGTACTGAACTTGAAAAGAGTCCACAAAATGTAAATCAATCTATGGAGATTGATTATCCCAAATTACTCAAATGTTTCAATGATTTGCTTTCAAAACTTAAATATAAAGATTTGGAAATGAACAGATCGAGTATGATGAAATGGGAAAATTCATTCTTATCAAAATCGTTAGGGAAACTGCTGGAGCCTGTTAGAACTATGTGGCATCTGAGCCAAGTACCCAGCATGGACCAAATTGACAATGCAATAAGAGTGATAGCTGAAGCACTCAGCATATCACTTGGTGATAAACAGCTAAGTATTAGCTTAGCAAACAGCGTAGCAAAATCCATCAAACAGATGAATATGGAAGCCGAGCAAAGGTTGTCTATGGATAGTGACGTTGCTCAAATAATAGAATCACCAACAAGCTCTCAACAGAAGAATGCAGATCTCTGCAATTCTTTGTATTATTTTTCATCACAAATCAAAAGAGTTCTTGTCAACATGAATACCATGCTTCCTGCAGAAAGCATTCAAATAGTACAGAATAGCCTCAAAGACATAACAAGCATGCCTGTTCTGCAATTATTTGCTGAATCAATAAAAAACTCTCTGTACATCATTCTTATGACAATGCACGATGAACCAGATTTAGTAAGAGCAGACGATCCTATGGGTAAAACCTTATCCTGTTCACCTTATATGAAAGAACTTCAACAATTTGTGTCGAGATGTAAAGACATTTACCTATCAATGTTTCAAGAGAAATCAGCTCTTAATGAATGTTGCCTGAACATTGCCATAGCATGCATAGAGAGGTTTATACAACATGTTTGTAACACAAGGCCTCTGAGCAAATTTGGTAGAATAAAACTTCAAATTGATTGCAAACATTTAGAAGTAGCATTATCTCCTTTGGTGAATGATGTGTCTGAACTTGGAGATCATTATAGGCAACTGAAAGCTTTACATTTGATATTAGAGAAGACACCCCAAGAAATTGCCAAGAGCCAGTCTGAAGGAGCATGTTTACCATACTCTTTAGTGATGATGTTTTTGTTTTCCCATGCTGGACCTCAACTGTTAGCCCCTCACACTTGTGCCGGTTGGAACATACAGAAGCTCATGCAGTGGCTTGACACACATAAGAATGAAAAAGAAAGGCTTGAATTTGTTGCAGGTGCATTACAACGGTATCAGAATCATGTGAGGCAAAACCAAATTGCTACATATGATGAAGTTTATCCTGTTCTGATACAGCTACTTGAAGAAGGTAGAAAACATTTAAAGAAATAATTAATTGTTATATAATATTACCTAGTATGTACATTAGTCTACGTATCAGTTATAACTGTGCAATGCATATAAATAAAACAATATTTGAAAAAGTTAACTATTTATTATGATTATCTGAAGATTTATGTCCTCCCATATACTGCTAACAGGAGTAGGCCTCTTCCTTGATTCCATCAACCTGGCACATCAAAATGGAATATAAAACACATAGTTTAATTTCACTATATTTCTAACATGTTATTGTAGAAATTGGAACAGATGGGATAGCTAATAAAACTACGCGATTAATAAGATAACTTCTTTATAGATATAATAACATACAACAGAGCAACACCCATCATGCATAAAATTATCTTTGAATACTTTATCTGTAAACTGTAAACTTTATCAAGGTTTTCCATGTCAATATGGTTATTCATTGTCAACAATCATAGAACACACAAACAACTATCTAATATTAAAACACAAAAGTCAGGCATCCATAAAGTTTACATTGTGCTTGAATTTAAACTGCATTCGCAAATAATTACATTCTACTGATATCTAAATATTGTCTACATATCGTTTGCGACACTATATTCTATGAAGAAAAGCAAAGTAACCAACAGCCGAAAGATGTTTCAATTATAAAGTATTAATGCTCATTTTACGTATAATACATATAATAACTCTACTCACGATATAATATTGAAATTAGAGTCTTATTGTGTATAACTTACGACGAGTTTTCACTATCAAGTATCGAATAGACTGTTTAGTACACGTGTCATATCATTTGGCCTACTATCACTGGCTCACAAACTATTTTAAACCTTAGCCTTAATTAGACTTGCAGAGTAAAATTGAATCAAATCGTAATAAATCACTCCTGAAGCATTTAATACTTATATTGAAACAGCTTACATTAGCGACGAGATATATGTGCTGAGTCGATGCGGTTTGATTCGACTCGGCATGCCTCTAATCGACTCCTCCAGACTTAACTTGTACCATAAGCTGAATTTACATAAGGTCAGTAACTATCTCCGATATCGAAATAATTCTGTGCTGACCTATTGTAACTTGAGCTGTATAGACACCAAGACTGTTGATTCATCATTGACCCTGTGTGCTTACACAAATACATGATAATTAATTATATACAATGTACATTATAATTTATATATAGGTAAAATTTCTTGATATTTGAATTTTAAACATATATAATAGGTTATCTACTGTAAATACCAGAGTATGAATGAAGACTTAAAATTCTGATAGAGAAATCAATTCGAAATAAATAACTACAGGCTTAAAAACACACAAAGGCTATCCTTTAATTTCGAGACTAGGTATTGTGATATGATGAGGTAATGTTTCTTTTACAAATATCTCTATTATAAATGCAAGATGAAACTGAACTGAACTTATTAAAACAAATTTTAAAGTATAGTGCATGTCCTCTACAATAACGATTAACTTACAATAAGAACAAATATAATGGAATAATCAACCTCGTTACTATGTACTGTCGTAAAGTTCAACTATATCTACATATCACTAGAGTCTAATTTTGTTTGGCGTCCAAGACCTTATCTCCGAACGCGACCCGGAACACATCGTCGTAGTTCTGCACGAAGTGTACGTCGATGTCGTCGCGTATGAACTGAGGCAGGTCGTCGTAATCATGACGGTTCTCCTCCGGAAGGATAACACTGGTTATGCCCACTCTTTTAGCCTATCAACAAACAAAACTTATTAGATGCAGATCATCAGTGACATCTCTCTTTATTTCTATATCGCAGATAACTGCGAAAGCGGAAGGCCGGTCCTCGGATGGGTGACCAAAACTTAATTTGCCCTCCCCTCTCTCGGATGACATATTAAGCCGTCGGTCTCGAGTGTATATGAAGTGCTACACTATCTCTAAAGGGCCGTTTGATGAACAGCTTACATCAATAGAAATAAAAAATATATTGGTGTCATAATTAACATTAGAATAGTTTAGGGTACCTAAACAAAACCATGATGATAGACTTGAATGTCGGAGACACGCTATATTTTTTATGATAAACTAGCTTTTCGTCAGCGGCTTCGTCCGCGTGGTCTTGTCTTCCTTTTGAATCACCCTATCTACGAAAAAAACCGCATCAAATCCGTTGTGTAGTTTCAAAAATTTAAGCATACCTAAGGACAGAGAAAGCGACTTTGTTTTATACTATGTAGTGATAATACATTTTTATATTAATGGTCGGTATTTATTTATTCAGATGTTTTCAAACGGTCCATTATACTCATAATTACGTACAAAAATAAAAAAGGAAAGGCAGACCAGTAGAAAATCCTATTAATATTATAAATGTGAAAGTTTCTTTGTTTGGATGTTTGTACGACAATCACGCCGAAACTACTGAACGGATTTTGATGAAATTTGGTATACAGATAGGGTGTTAGCTGACTTAGATAATAGGATACTTTTTATCCCACTAAACATTTCCCTAGGGTCCACGCGGGCGAAGCCGCTGGCGAAAGCTAGTATATAATAATTTCGCAGCCGACTTCTATCACATTTTTAACTATCGATCCGTACGTATATGTACGTACGGCGCGGGACTTGCGAGTGCGAGCGAGAGGAGCGCGGTGGGGATGAGGTACAGTGTGTATATGTATGTGTATACGTACGGCGATGATCTTCTCCTTGATGCCGCCGACGGGCAGCACTCGGCCCGTGAGCGAGACCTCCCCGGTCATGGCGAGGTGGGGGGGCACGGGGCGGGCGAGGGCTAGCGAGAGCAACGCGGTGGTGATGGTCACGCCCGCCGAGGGGCCGTCCTTGGGCGTGGCGCCCTCCGGCACGTGCAGGTGGAGGTGGCTGAGGGGAAACGTATCGTACATACAATTGGTCGACGATTGCGAGCGAACTAGCTATAGATTTCATTATTTAAAATATCTGAAGGAAAACAAATTACGTATTTCAACGCGGATAGAATTTGTTGTAATTAATTACATAAGCGTTGACTTCCCGTTTATCAAAGACGCCATGTCAAAAAACGGCGCCGGTTCGAAAATGTAACTGCTTTATAGATTTACATTTTTTTTAAAATGAATATTTGTTACTGTTTATTTTAATAAAAAAAAACAAAAGAAATGTTGCGAAAAAATTAACAAGTATTCTTGTCTTGAAATTAAATAAAAATTTAAGGTTTTTTTTTTACACCCGCGAAAACGCTGTCTGTCGTATTCGTGACGTCATTGTGATATGTACACAAAACAGATACATAGAGTACAAGATTAAATATGTTAATAAAACAAGAACAATACCATCTCACGATGGAATACGAAATAAAAATATATAAATAAGCTAAGAGCAGCGCCATATAGGAATTTGATTTATAATTAATGACTATCTGACAGTTGTCGCCACAGTGACGTCACACAATGGCGGGACATGTTTCAAGCACGTGACACACAGACAAAAAATCACGACTTTTAATTTTAAGATAAGATAATCATGCGATTTTGGGACTCAAAATCAGAATCTCTATGTTGATAACGATGTAAATTTTAGTTTTTATGCAATTTCGTGACTTATTTTTCACTGTCGAAACTACTCTGTTCTCTAATGAACTTTAAATATCGTTAGAATGGCAAATGTGCACTCATGAAATTGCACAATCTGTCGTTAACTTATTATATTAAAAAGAAATCGTTTTATCTGTTATGTTCTATTTGCAAGGTTATATATTTTTTCTGTTACGTTAATATTGCAATGGAGGTTAAAATCTCATAAATTAATATTATATTGTTTTGGTAATAACATGTTAGTTTCTTGCTTGTTCCTCATATCAGCCAAATACGTCCTGAATAAGAGGTAGGGAAAAAATATTGGACAATTCAAAAGGTTTATTTAACTAAAGACATAAAGCAGGGTTCATAATTATCAAGATAATTATTTATAGTTATTAGCAACAATTTTTTTATATACAGAAAATTCATAATTGAATGAGCTTTTATTTACGTCATTATAAATTATAAAAAAATATACAAACAAAATGACCAAAAAAATTAACTGTCAAATCAAATTGAGCAAAGTGAATTGAAAATATAAATAAAATATTTTCTAATAAAAAGGGGTCTTATAATTTTTTTTTTTTTTTGTTTGTTTTGTAGGTCTATTTTAGACAATTTTCCGTATCAGAAAAACCATATTTGACAGTTGTTTAAAGATCATTGCCCTTTAATTACAAGTCCGAAAGTACAAAAAGAGTTTGTGTCTAATTATCCAGTCGCAATGTGTATGAAATTCACCATATCCTTCCAGTCCACATAATTCTGATAAGCTTCCGAGGTCTACTTTGCTATTTTCTATACGTACTGCTATCTGTTCATTGAATTGTCCACGTGCCAACTATTACTAGTGACCGATAGTGAGACGTTTCATAGCTCCGGCCGCATCGACTACATACTTGTGGTGGAGGAACCGGTTGCGCGGTTGTATCGCGGCCAGGTGGTTCCTGGCGACGGTGAGCGCGATGCGCGCGGACTCCTTCATCACGTCCCCGAGGTGGCCCGTCAGCTCCAGCGAACCCAGCGACGGTTTCTCGCCCTCCCCCTCCCCCGCACCCGCCACCTCCACCGCGGGCGCGCGGAGGGCGGTCTCGATGTACAGGGAACTGCCGCCTGCGTCGCAACAATAGGATATTCCATTATGTTTAAAGTGGTACCCGTGAGTGTTTATTTTAATTTAAATAAGTCATAAAACAAATATTTCGGAAAAATAAACGCATTTTCTTGCCTTTAAATTAAATTAAAATTTAAACTCATTTTATACCCACGATAACGCTGTCCAACATATTCATGACGTCATTCGGATATGTATACAAAACATATACAGAGCATAGAGTACAAGATTTAAACAAAAACACTGACATCTACCGGTCGATTACGAAATAACAAGATATAAATAAGTTACGCACAGCGTCAGCGTCAACATCCATCTAGGAATTTGATGTATAAGAAACAGGCGTTGTTTATGACTAATCTGACAGCTGTCGTCAGAGTGACGTCACACGGGAGTTGGTCGTGTTTCAAGTCACGTGACTTATAAAAAAAAAACGCAACATTTAATTATAACATAACCATGGTTATTTCTGTTTATTACAGTGTAAATTTTAGTATTTTGTGCAACGTCATAACTTATTTTTCATTACGGAAACCCTGTTATGTTTTAAACTTCCAGGCTCTACTGTATTTCTACCGTGTTATTTTGATAAAAGACAAACAGAAATTGATTGTCGTTTGGCTATCAGAGAATGACATACCCATGGCGGTCCAGGCGAGGCCCATGACGACGCCGGGCGGTGTGACGTCATACATGCGGTCGTGCTTGAACGTCGGCTTGCCCACCAGCTCGGACAGGTTGCCCTCGGTCACGACGGCCTCCGAACATTCACTCTTCACTATCTTGTACGCCACTTTACGAGCAATCTGGTTAAATTCAAGCGATTGTTGTATGTTAAAGTAAAACAAATAATTCATTACAATAAAAAAACAGTAGTCGTTATAAGCGTAATGCTTAATGTTTCTTTCTGAGCCCTTGTATAGCCAAACAGTGTTTAGGTGAATTTAAGATAAGTATCCAAAAAACTTCAAAATGTTATTCTAAGCATCTACATATACCACGCTGACGAAGTCGCGGACAAAAACTAGGTATCTAATAAATAAAATTCATATGAAACAATTTTAGTTACCATACTCCTCTGAAATGTCTCGACCGATATTGATGAAATTTTATATGTATGTATTATATTTTTTCTACCCATAGTTACAATCCAAAGAACCAAAGAATAATGTCCTAAAAATTTACTAACGTGTCTAGTTATGATATATCTTAAAAGTTAGCTTATTTTTTTTCTTATTTTATTTTAGGAAGTTAAATATTAAAATAAATTCAGGATTATAATTGCGAGTTTGATGATTATTTTTAAAGGACTATAATAACTACCAAAATGCGATTCGGACCCTAAAATGACGGTTTACTACGTTTTGTTTCATCTATTACGGAAAAGTATACTTTCATCATAAGATTAAAAAGTGCACAATCATATTAGTTTATTCAAAACTCAATAAGTTTATTTTTTCCATACGTAATTTAAAATAATATTACATAGTTTAGTTATTCTACAACATGCAAAAATATTACTCTATTTAAATTATGACTAATGGTGGGCAGACGCGACCTTAAAAAAAAACATATGACAGGAATGAATATATGAGCGATGGACATGGTTCTTCATCTGGCAAAACAAAACGATGTCTGCCGCGTCAAGTGGTACCTTTTCGATGTGCTTCTGCAGGTTCCTGACGCCGCTCTCGCGGCAGTAGCAGCGTATGAGGGCGGCGAGCGCGTCGGCGGACAGCTGCAGCTGCCGCTCGTCCAGGCCGCAACCCCTACGCGCGGTCGGCACCAGGTACTGCTGCGCTATCGCCAGCTTCTCCTCCGCCACGTAACCTGTTGCACCGGGGCAGTCCTCACATTATACTCTAAAGTGGGTGTTATACAACTGAGGTTGAGAACGTTCGACACGACGTCCAATCAGCGGATCCACCCACCGATCAGAATGTAATAGAAAAGTATTTATTTAGCACCACATTACATGTACAAAACATTAATTGATAATAAAAGAGATAATAATAAATAATAGATCATTCAAAATTAGATACTAAAAAGGTCTCCGCTCAGCAATATGCCGTAGTGTTTAAGCTACGGCGCTGATTTTTAGCGGATACGTGCCGACTTATTAATATTCTCAAAAATGAAGAAAAAAAACTACCACTCGCACGAATCAACAGGGCATCCGAAACGAACGAAATCTAGTATATTTTCGAAACGCCAATCCGCCTAAGAAACTAGGATAGAGTGGAGTGTACCGACCGGACATGTCGATGAGCTCCATCCGGTCCCGGAGCGGGTCGGGGATGTGGTCCACCACGTTGGCGGTGCAGATGAAGAGCACGCGCGCCAGGTCCACGGGCACGTCCAGGTAGTGGTCCAGGAACGCCGCGTTCTGCTCCGGGTCCAGCAGCTCCAGCAGCGCGGACGACGGGTCGCCGTGCACGCCCCTGCGGCACGTACACGTACACGTACAGTGCGATACAGTACAATGCCTGCGAGTTGACAATGCAGTCGACCCGCCCTTTTCGTTGCTTTCGATTGTTATTGTTGACGTTTTAAAAAAAAAAGAATCATCCGTTTGTTTTCGCCTTATTACAAAGTATACCCTAATATTAACATACAAATTAATGCAATAAATTAAAACTTATTTAATTATTTTGACAATGTTTTTGTGGATTATTCCTAAATATTTCAATTATTAATAAATAATATGTCTCTTGTATTTTATGCTATCTGTACTTTCTATTCTTAAATGACGCCACTCGGGTGTTATTTAGACAAAGTACCAGCGCATTAACAATTTACGGTACTTGTACAACAGGCGCCCCTTCCTATCGACTACATGATAATACTGACGGATGTAGGTGGCCCCGTAATATGATCCATATACCATCCTGAATGAATGGTAAAAGTCAGAACTGCAACAGCAGGGACGTTCCGGCTGTAGGTGACGGTGGTTTGAGAGGATAGATAATGAGGGCAAAGCGTTTCCTTTAAACCAATTTTGCGCTTATTTTGGTGTAACTGAGATTTATTAATGCAATTATGAACGTCAGTGTTTTAAAACTGAAGACAAAAAGTAGTGCAAAATTAAGCGGGATAAAACAAGAGCTAAATCAGAGGTTAGAATTTATTAGGCGTGTTCGCTATTTTTAACAAAATAGTTTATTTTTGTATTATGACCTATGAATTAAATTCAATCGCAGCGTAGCAAAGAAACTTTAACAGAAAATACGGTAAACAAATGTTCCGCCGACAGTGCACTGCCGCAATACTGACTTGCCGATCTTGTCCACCTCGTCGATGAGCACGAGCGGGTTCTCGGTGGCGGTCTTCTTGAGGCACTGCACCAGTTTGCCGGGCATGGCGCCCACGTAGGTGCGGCGGTGGCCCTTGATCTCCGCCACGTCCGTCATGCCGCCCACCGAGAACCTGAAGTACTGCCGGTTCAGCGCGCGCGCGATCGATCGAGCTGCCACATACAGATATACATACACATATACCATGACTATGTCTATAGACTATCTAGCACAGCAAAAACGTTAAAACTACACACATGCATTGCTCAGATTCCAAGATGAGTAGCTAAAGCCCCTATATTATGGAGTATCTGAGACAACGAAGGCACCACAACACCCAGATTGGAAACAATATAGAAAAGTTCATTTTCTACATTGACCCGACCGGAAATCGTACCTGGGACCACAGAGATTACGACACCTTGAAACCGGCGAGCGAACTACTCGGCTCCGTAGCGTCAATGTTTCCGATGGGCTTCGTCTCGCTTCTTCTTCGGATAACATAGCCGCATGCTTGTCAGTACGGTTTCGCATATACAAAAAATGTCGCTACACAGACGAATATGTTTCGCATTCAGAATTACCACCCGTCCCTATTTCTCATGAATGTCACAAATTTTGTTGAAGAGTGACAACCCTGTTTGCATTCGCATAGTTTCGTAAATATTTATTTGCATCTTTAAAACATTTGTGGTGTTCTATCGACCTGCCTATGATATTCATTTCGATCTTCATTCTGATGCAATAAAAATAAAATAATTTTTATGTTTTACAAAAGAATATTTAAATTTTAAACTTTTGTATAAAGGAACGCCATAATTACGGTCTTTGATCCATTCTGACGTTATCTTTTCGTGTCAAGAAACAATATTTAATTTGTTGGCACAGTGCCGCCATCTAGTGAAGCTTATTACAATACTTTTTTTAATACTTCCTCATAAACACCATCGCGATACTCAGAAATAACAAGAAAAAGTCGTAAAACCATGTCATCAAAAAGCACACTACAGGAAAAGTGATTGATGACCCTAAATAAATCAATTATCATGAATGGACAATAAGAATTTTTTTTTTCTTAGACACCACTAACCTATACTAGTCTTCCCGACCCCGGGCGGTCCATGGAAGCATAGTATCTTGCCCTGGGTCGTTCCTTTCAACTGGGACACGGCGATGAACTCCAGGATCCGCTTCTTGATGTCCTCCATGCCGTAGTGGTCTTCGTCGAGGATCACTTGAGCGTCCTCCAGCTTCAGGTTCTCTTCAGACGTTATGCCCCACGGTAGAGATGTCAACCAGTCTAAGTAGCACCGCGTCACACTTTAAATGAAAAATTTATTTATCTTAAAAAATTAGGTTTTCCTAATTACATTGATTTGAAATGTCGCATAATGTCATACTTTTGTACATTTTCTACAAAAATTTGCGGTAGCTAATCCCCACTCCTCAACTTTAATATAAGCCATGCCTATTATATAAGCTATTCCTTGTTTAAATTTAAGCAAAAACATATGTATAACATTTTTCTATTATCTGACTGACAGACTAAATAGAATTATTACCCAGTCATCCTTATTGATTAAATTAATTCATATACGTATCCTTTATAAGGTTATTTGTAAAAATAATTAGGTTCCATATATTAGGGACTTTTTTTCCACAGCTCCAAGTGCGGACAGGCTGAGCCAGGCCGGTCATCGATGTGGGCAACCCCTCTCGCCGCTGCCGTGGTACCGGCGCCGCACATATCGGTTAGTATGTACGGCAGTGGGGATGTATGTGCGTGCGTGTGTGCGTGTGTGTGTGTGTGTGTGTGCGCGTGTGTGTGCGTGTGCGTGTGTGTGTGTGTGTGTGTGTGTGTGTGTGTGTGTGTGTGTGTGTGTGTGTGTGTGTGTGCGTGTGCGTGTGTGTGTGTGTGCGTGTGTGTGTGTGTGTGTGTGTGTGTGTGTGTACCACCACGATAGCGCAGTTCTAACATACCCTAAACTACTATTTTGGTAACGATTGGACGACTGCACTATCAAACCCATCATACGATTGTTATTAAAAAAAATCCATAAAACGCAGGATCAATGCGAATTTTCAGTATTATCCACTGTCTGAAAATTGATAGCTACACGTGAATTCTGAAGGAATAAACCTTTCCATGCCGTCACCTTATGACTAACTTACTTGAACTCGGAACTGTGACTCTCTAGGAAGTTGAGTTTGTTGAGCTCCTCGTCGATGACGGTCTGCACGGCGGGCGGCACCTTCTTGTCCGCAAGCCGTTCCCGGAACTTCTCCCCAATTGCATCTTTGTCGTCTTTCTCCAAGCCCAACTCTTTTTTTATTACCTACAAATACAATTCCTATTTTAAAATTCGTGAAAAATGCAATCGAAGCATTAAAGACATCCAAAAACCGTTTTAAAGTTACTAAAATGTAAAATGCAGCAAACCTTGAGTTGCTCATGCAGAATATATTTTCTATGCTGCTGTTTCACTTTCTCTTCTACCTCCTTGCCGATCTTCTGTTGCAATTTTGATAGTTCGTACTCTTTCTTCAACAGGGAAAGAGACATCATCAGTCTTTTTGGAATCTGAAAAAAAAAGTTTTTTTCAGTTTATTTCGGTTTTATTTCGGCGTCCATTTAGTTCATATGGAAATTAACAAATGTGGAATGGCCGAACGAGTGGACAGCGGATGCAATGATGGTGACAATCATGGTGGCACTCAGTGTTCGCCCATCATGGGCCACAGTGTGGAACAACCATAAAAAAGGGATAAATAATACTTATCTCAGAAACAACTCATTTAATTAATAACCTACAGTACACCTCCGCCCGGCTTCAATAACAGTGGCTTGAATAAGTCACTTTTGAGATAAGTATTATTTAAACTTTTATTCTTTAATTGGTTCTCTCTGTATCCAGATAAAATGGTTAACCGAAAGATTCGGCCAAATATCCGGATCCGTAAAAGTTAACCAAATACTGTCCTATATTCGGTGAAACCACTATTCTGAGCATCTCTAAATTATATCGAGTAGTAGCACATGATCGTACGTCCATCTCCTCTAGGATGGCCTGCAGCTCGGCGGGCTCGGCGCCGGTGAGCGCGGCGCCCAGGTCGCTGAGGTACACGGGGTTGTCCACCACGCGCTGCCCCTGCGCCAGCATGTGGTGCAGCGACTCCCTGCACACCACACCACTCGACAATCACGACTTATTGTGTTTCATATAATATACTTTGCATTCACAAATTCAAAGTGATATAATTGCTATTTATCTGATAGAAAACTTAGTTTAAAAATTCCAGTATTTGCTATACTGTTAGATATAGGTATAAGAATTCAAAGATATTCTTTATGTTTTTTTACTATTTTTATAACTTCAGCCACACAAATCATAGACTTTATCACCTATAGTGTTTTGTTGTAGCTGAATGACATAGGTGAAAGAATTTTCATGATCAGATTGGTATTTCCAAAGCTTACCCCCTCTTAACAAACAAAGTTCGAAACTTTACTTCTTTATAATACTATTAGTAGTATAGATATGTATACACACCTGTATAATGGATTCAGATTAATAATATCTCTAATAGTCTTAATAACTTCTTGTGTTAAAGCTTTAACTTCCTCAGTCTGTTGGAACTTCTCGTGCATCATATTCTCAACTTTGACCATCATAACTTGGTCAGGAAGAGGTTTCTTAGGGGCCTCTTCAGTTTCTGTTTGTTCCGGCTCTGAGCGCTGTTTACGTGTGTTCCGGTGTTTGCGCCGTCGCCTCTCTGCATCTGATTCTTGTTGTGTAACGTCAAACTCGACATTAAACAGTGGAAACTTTAACTTCATATCTGAAATGATCATGGTATCATTTCAGACATGAAATTCACTTTAACTAGTTTTTAATAACAAATTACACTTCTCTCGGTTTCTTATTTACCGAAACAACGAAAAGAAAATATATTGTTCTAGGTTCTATAAAAGGCCAAACAACTGTGAGTAATTTTAAGCTTAACTATCAACAAAAAAACATTAAAAATATATTGTAATTTGGCCTTTGTTGTCACCTGACTAAATCACTTAATGATAAGTTTGACAAAAAGAAGAACATGTATGAGGCGGGCAGAAATAAAAACCTAGGCATTTTCTCTGTAATATTCTTATAATTATGATTAAGTTTTTAATATAAATGATCTTTATGAAACTGAATAATTAACATGTTCCCATTTTATTGAAGAGTAGCATCTCACCAGTGGCGTAGCTAGGTAATCTAGGGCCCTGGGGCATATAAAAAAATGGGGCTCACTGTTTTTTGAAGTAAAATCATTAAATATACAAATACTTTAAAAATGCTAAACAACTTTATCATCAGCTCTTTTTCGTGCATAGGCAGGTAATAAAACTATTAAACACTAACAACATAAATTACAATTATTTTTATACTTGGTGTAGGTATTGGGCAATAAAACGAAATAGAAAAGATTCAAGGGTTTATTATATATTTATTTAACCATAGATACGTTGCACCAACTTACTGTTATTTAACCTATCGCCTTGCAAGCTATTTACAAAAATTATTAATAGAAATATTTGATCCAGAAGTACTTGCAGAAGGCTGACTAAAAAACTTGTCAATTTTGGGCAATTTTTGTTTACTTTCTCCTCTTTTTTGGCGTTGTTTGCCTTTAAATGCACCACCGGGTTTCTTTTTTTTTGTCCATAATATTAGTTTTCTAATTTATTTATGCAATATTTATGTAAGATTGTACTCAAGTAAGTACTCACTGTTCACTGACAACATTACAAGTAAAAGGAAAGCGAAACGTGAATGAATGAAAATGATACGATACAAGGCGTCGTTGGGGAATTCCCGGCAAACACTTTATCGCCGCCAGTGTTACCACATTTGACAGACTACAATCAAATAAAATTGAACTTTTGTATGGACCAGTACAAAAAAATTATTGACATACGCTTACTTACTCCTGATACAATAACTTTTTAACCATTCTCGAAAAAAAATCTTGACTCGAAGTTCACAATCACGAATCACAAAAACGCATATCGATAAATAATAATATGCAGATATTGATTTCCAACAAATTGATGAAAACATTAATAACACTGTCAACCCACACAAATAATTTACGGGAATTCTCTTTTTACCCGACTGCGCGACGCAAAGGAGGGTACCTAATTATAACTTTGGAATTACTCACAACTGAGTTTCCATGATTAAACTCGAGTAGTCACCTGTCATTTTTATTTTGAAGATGGGAGAAATTTTCAAAAGTTGAGTTCGATTGAGATTTTCTGGTAAAGATTCGAGGGCCCCCTGATCTTGAGGGCCCCGGGGCACTGCCCCGCCTAGCCCCTTAGTAGCTACGCCACTGCATCTCACAATCTTGTTCTCAATACAATAGGGATGATGACTAATTTCAGTTTGTTTGCCCGTCAGGTAGATTATTAAGAATATTTAATACATATTTTCAATTTTTTGCATAATCAATAAATTACATTGAGTCGAAATGTCATTAGATTTTTTGCATAATCAATAAATTACATTGAGTCGAAATGTCGCATAATGTCACACTTTTGTACATTTTCTACAAAACTGTGCAGTAGCTAGCCCCCACTCCTCAACTTTAATGCCTATTATATAAGCCATTCCTTGTTTAAATTGAAGCAAAAAAATAAGTATCTAATATTTTTCTATTATCTGACTGACGGAATAATCAGATTTATTTCTATTACCCAGTCATCCTTATTAATAAAATTAAATGAAAAATCAATCTTACCCGCTGGACCAGTCTCAATTTCTTCTTCAACAAATTGACCAGTGATCTTAATTCGTCGATGTGCCATCACTACCAGCCTCAGTTTATAGTCCATATCTTGCATCTCATGGATTTGTGCAAAAACACCAACTTGGTGTAAATCTTCCAAATTTGAAACAACATCAGACTTCTCGTCTTCTTTCTTGCGCAAAAATATACCAACATATGGTTGGTTTAATTTCACTTTTCGTCTTATTAAGTCTATAAGTGCAGGATTTGATATCTACAAAAAAAATGTGATATGAGATTAGGATTCAACTAACTTTGAACAGAGTGTTTAGTATTCTTTTGATCACATTATTGAATACATGATTTACCTCAATCAACTTGATGAACCTTGGGAAGACTGGATTCCTATTTATAGCTATAACAGGTACTTGTGGCCAAACTTCTGGAACAGCCACTGTGGCTGGTAATTGACTGGAAAATAGCGGCGTTTCATCCTTGACTTCGGGATCATCCTCCGGTGGGTCATTTTTGTTATTAGTAGAATATAACCTCACAACACCAATTTGTTTCTGAACTGGCCAAAAGCCATTATTACTATACCAACAAATCCTAGAATTTTTTATTAAAGAATAGTATCTGGTTGACGAAAATACTCTTTTGACATCTACCGGTTTTTTATGTGATGCAACTTTGGAAATATTACGAGACAATTGTGAACTCTTCAACGTAGGGTGAAATAAAATAGAGTTCCTAAGTAAAACACTAGCGGATTGCATTTTGTTAACTTTTTATTTCAATGTGTAAGAATAAATGCGACAGTTCATTTAAAACTATAATATTTATTACATATTTCAGTCAGTACCGTTAAAGGTTATTTTTCCAGATTCTTCAAAACTTCAAACTTTGACTTTTGGTCAACATAGGATTGGGCAAAAACTATCGACATATCAAAATATCGATGTATTTAAAAAAAAAAAAGAAACGATATAAATCAGCGATATTTTTCGCAATATGTCGGCTTTCGATATTTATTTTCAAATATCAAATTCGTATCATAATCGATATATTTTTGCTCGCACGTCTCATCATGTATTTCTTAAATTTAAAAAGAGTAAGTAGGCAGTATACCTCCTCTTTATTTGGTCTGTGGATATGACTGACGTAACCCAAATTACAAAAATATTTGGTCTGTGGATATGACTGACGTAACCCAATTACAAAAATATATATATGGATGTTGGCAAAATTTCCGTGTATAACGGAACAAGACCATATTAAAAAAAAAAAAAAAAAAAAAACAAACCCACAAAAAAGTGTGTATTTAATAACAGAAAATTTCTTAGAGTTAAGAAGAACAAAGTTTCTCAGTCGTTATAAATATTTATGTTTTTAAAAGTATTTTATAATATTATCAATTTAACAAGTCGAGTACGTAGATGTTTATTTACCTCAGTAATTTCTCTAACCTCAAACCAATGTTAGTAAATTAGCAATATTAACAAGATCTGATTCTATATCGATATAAATATAATATAATTAAGAATTAATTCAGAGTAGATGATAGTCTGGTCATGTGTTAATTTATTTGCACAGAGAACTCTTGCTATGGAAGTTTCAACCAATAAAACTATTAAAGAAGGTCCAGCTGTAATAAGTTTAGTGGCTGAGAAGGTGTTTTACAATCCTGTACAGGAATTTAACAGAGATCTCAGTATACTTGTACTGAATGTTTTCTCCAAAGACTACAAAGCTGAGAAAAATGCTCAAGCACAGAAGAAAGCACAAAACAAAAGTATAGATTCTACAATTGAATTTGCTGAAAAAAATGAGGTATGTATGAAGTCTAAATTATTGATTTTGTACAAATTTTGTTATTTTTGTTGATTGACACTTGCAATCTCAAACTATGAATATTCTTAAATTTCTGAATTGAAAATTTAAAGTTAAGCATGTCTTAAACTTCACTCAAACAGTGTCAAACAATCGTAACAGATCAGTTTGTTTGATAGCAGTTTTGATAAAACTAGGACTTTTACAGTCAGTTGCGCAAACATTCATTAAGGTTTAAGGAAGCTTTTAAGCTCGAATGAATCTCAAATTTGTAGGGGTAATGTCGCTTTAATTTTAATGGACATTGTGCAACTAGCTGTTTGCCTTGTGAAAAGTAGAAAACTTAAGTTATTGAGAAAAGGCAAATAAGCCTTTGTATTTTTCTCAATTCAAGAACTGGCTGTTTGTTGTAGTATTCTTTATTTGATTTTAACACTGATAATATTTATATTTATTACTATTACAGTAGAATCTAAATTAATTAAAACCAGGGGTATTCCATATAATTGAAAATCCACTTAATAAATTCTATAATCAAATCAAATAATATTTAAGTTTTGATAATTTTTTATTATGATATAGGTTTTACATGTCTCATTACAATGTATAAAAAAGAGCTATAAAGATAGTGAATTATATGATAACTTGTCATAAATCATAACATGTCTCATTACGTCATAAAACAAATTTTAAGTTGACAATTAGAGTCGAAATGGTTGAGTCCAGATAATCAATGTTTGATAATTGGGGTTCTATTGTATTTATTTTTTCTATTGATTCACTTATGTATAACTTAAATATAAATATACATATCATAGGTAGAATTCACATTACTTGAAGCTTTATCTGCTACTGGATTAAGAAGTATCCGATATGCAAAGGAAGTAGCTGATATCACGAAAATTGTTGCCAATGACATATCCATGCAGGCTGTACAAACCATGAAGGTTAACTTTGAACAGAATCAAGTCAGTCACATGGTTGAGGTTAGCCATGATGATGCATGGTAAGTTAAAAATAATTACGAATTAACAAACACTTGAGGGCCTATTATCTTATTATTCCTTGAATTAAATTATCTGTGCACCAGATAAGTGTCTTTGGAGTCATGTCAGTATTTTGGAAATGTAAGAAAATATTATCTTCAGAGAAATAGAATAGGCCTTCAGGTGCCATGTTAATTTGTACGACTAGTAGGAACATATATGAAAATTTGTTTTACAGAACATTGTAACTTAAATGATTGAGGTACATCTAAAAGCTTGTTATTGCCATTTCTGTAGCTCAGAAATGCCTTAAGTTAGAGTAAGACAGGACCGTATCTAGTGGGTGGACGCTAGTATTGGTGGGGGTCGAAAACATAATTTATTTTAACAAATGAGCTTCACGTCTTTTGAAATCTACACATTATCAGGTTACTATGGGAATGGGACTTACATATTTTTAAAGTGTAAAATGAATTAAAAGAAAAATATACACTGCAAAAATATGCTAATATAAATTCTGGCCTTACAGAACACAGGATTGAAAAGGCACACCAAACATTCTGCCCCAGTTGGAAAAAATGTGACTAGCTATCTTTCTCGCTTTAGAACATGGCAGTTCTGAACAATAGTAAAGGCAATATTGTACTGCCAGATGTAGCTAAACTCTTGGGAACTCAAACTTAAATGTATAATAGCATTGACTTTGCTATTGTTTACTTTGAAATTCTAATGATTATAGTTAATGCTAATTTAGTTTTTATGATCAGAACACACAAAACATGCCATATTCTTCTTGACGTATTTTTTCAGCATGCTTATGTACAAACATAAGCATCCTTCTGAACGATTCTCAGCTATTGACTTGGATCCTTATGGGTGTCCATCTATATTCCTGGATGCAGCTGTACAAAGTGTACAGGATGGGGGCCTGCTATTGGTCACTGCCACTGACATGGCAGTGTTAGCAGGAAATTCTCCAGAAACATGTTACAGCAAATATGGTGCTATCAGTTTGAAAACTAAATGCTGCCATGAAATGGTAAAGCATATGCATATACACATATATATTAATTTTTTAACACATTTAACTGTTTGACGACTGCGAAGATACCAATGGCAAATCAGAAATAGACGCCTCCTATGCAGAACTTTGTTGACGCAATTTCTCCGTCATTCATACCATCAAACAAATGTATATTAGATTTGAAAATATATTCAAAACCTCGCCCAATATTCACTCACGCCTAGACACAAATACCTTAATTAGCATAAAAATAAGATGGGTGTCATCTATATGTTTATGTTTCAACCACTATATTATTGGATGACGATACGTTGTTAATCAAGTACTTCTAACATCGCCCCTAGAAATGTGCCTTATTTGTCTAAAGAATAAAGCCAATAAGATACAATAAACGACAATATATCTCCGTAACATGACGCGCAACGTAATCTTCGTACTGCTTCAACATTGTCTGGTGTAATCGCCAGGATCTCTTCAGGCTTGTATCGCCTGTAAAAGGTTCCGCAATATTTGTCTCGGGACATTCTGCATAGTTATTAAGAGACGCGTTACGCAATATGTTGTTCCATTGGTCTCCTAGTGTACATGCATAGTTGTCAAAAAGTTAAAATCTGACTTTGAAACATACTTATTATAAAATAATTTATATGTTATTTATGATAATTTCAGGCCTTAAGGATACTTTTGCAGTGCATAGAGAAACATGCCAATAGATATAGTCGGTACATAGTACCTCTGCTGAGCATATCAGCAGATTTCTACATTCGTATATTTGTCAAAATATATACAGGTGCTATACATTGCAAGAAAACTACTAGGTTTGTATCATATTGTTATAAGGTGCCATCCATAGAAACATACTTGAGTGTAATAACGTAAGACTAGTTAGACCTTGTCCTTTTTTTCTTATAAGGTGAATAATATTTTAAAAAATATTTAAAAAATACGTGTATAGTAAATTATACTGAAGCAAAAGTCATGATTAGCAAATCATTAAAATTCTAAAAAGTGTTAAAAAAAACTACATACAAAAAACTACAATTTTTTTTATTCATATTGTTTCTTACATGGGAAAAAGTGGCAAAATGTTAATAAATGAATGACGTTTAATTAACTCGTCAATTTTGTCTATACTTATATGATAAGAGACAAACTACTGAACGGATTTTAAAAATTATTTCACCTACGGCTAGTTACATCATACGGTGTTGACATAGGCTATAATATACAAGTACGAAGTCGCGGTAAAACAAGTATTGTTTACAATAAAATGTTAATATTAATTTATTATTTATTAAAAAAAATATATTATTCACAGCAAGTTAGCCATGGTATACCAATGTGTGGGATGCGACAATATGACATTGCAGCCATTGGGTGGATTCAAATCGAACCCGACCGAGAAGAATCCCAATCAAATGAAGGGGTTTTTGCCGACCGGGCCGGTGGTGGGTGAACACTGTGTCAACTGTAACCAGAAGCATCATGTAAGTTAAGATGTTCATCTTGTAAGCTTTGGATTTTGATGAATAACTATTACCACCACTTAAAAAACTAAACAGAGTAGTTCAGTAGTAAAAAATAAGTGATAAAATTCAACAAAACTAGGATAAGACATTAGTCTCACTTACCTTTTGCATTTCTATTAAGATAATGAGGAAGAATTTAAAAAAAAATTAGTTCCCGAAATCAAACTAGGTATTGATATGGTACTTTCTTGATTTCCCCATAATCTCATTAGTGTATAAAAGAAAATTATTTTTCAAAATTATAAACAACTCATGTTCTATTTGTACTTTTTCGTATTCGTATTGATATCTAAGTTTCGAACTTGGCAAATTTCAGTTTTGCAAAGTTTGTTAATATGTTAGTTAAAAGGAACGGAAATGACAATCTTTGGTCCATTTGTTTCCTGCAAAAATCAACTTTTGCTAGAGTCACCATCTAGTGAGGTGCTTTTTAAGTGCTTTCTTTTTTTTCTTAAAATACTTCCTCATTGATTAAAGAAGATATTGGATAAGATAGAACAATTAGAAATCAGCATTCATACAAAGAAGTTGAAATATTAATAGCTAGGTGGCCCAATCTGGACGGCGCCCATCCACGAGCCAGTGTTTGTATCCAGAGTGCTCGCTGAACTGTCGTCGGAGCGGCACTGCCTCGGCACCCGCGACAGAATCGAGGGCGTGTTGTCTATGGTGCGGGAGGAACTGCACGACGTGCCGCTCTACTACTCTATGGACAGGCTAGTCGGCCGCGTGCACTTGGAGACTATGCCCATGTTACTTATGAGGTGTGAATACTGATGAAACAATATGCTAAATGCATTTATTCCTACGCTTAAAGCAGTAGAATCTTTAGATTAATCATGAAAATACATATTTTATTATACAATTATGGTATTCATTATTTTCTTACATTCAAATGTTTTAATATTGATTATTTTTAGCTTGTATTTTTAATCATATTTACCATAATTCAATGTATGTAATGTAATTATATGTTATATATGTAATTATTTTGCGATCAGAATGTTATTTATTGTAATCTCCAAGTCATTTCTCATATTAAAATTAAAGTTACTTCCGATATTGCATTAACAAACACTGTCTCAATCTTACAATATTTTAATTTACTTAAATCTTTTTAATGGTGTTTACATTTGAATGCAAACCAGATTCTAATAACAGCTTCGTTTGTGTGTCAACAGGTCTGCTATTTTAAACGCTGGCTATAAGGTCTCTTATTCGCACGCGTCAAAAATGTCTATCAAAACAACTGCGCCGGCGCAATTCATATGGGACATTGTTAGGACGTGGGAGAGGACGCATCCAGTTAAACCTGCCAGGTAAGACATTTGTACTGTTGTTGCAGACCCAGTATTACATAAAAGAGATTTTGGCTGAAAAAGTGGCAACACCAAGGAGAGCTAAAACATAACAAAAAAGTTCATGATATACTTAATAGTGGAGGACCTCCTTAGTGATCTATCATTATCATTGCAAAGTCACTGCCATGAAACAAATAATAATGTTTGAAATACATGAATAAGTTAGTTCAACAGTTTTTAACCAGTGGTCGAAAACTGTTAGTCGACCTGGAAACATCACAAGTGGTGAACGGAGTCTCATAAAATAATTAATAGATATGTCGCAGTAAGATAGATAAAGCCGTAATATAGTTATATCCCTAGGGATATAATTATATACTGTTACATAGTTATACGGAAGCGATTCATTACTATCTCACTAGGAATATAGTTATAAAGCGGTTCAAAAATTCTTATCAACTAAGTTGAGATCTTGATTTCTTTAAAAGTATTTTTAAATTTTTGTTCAGACAAGAAGAGGAATCATGACATCTAGAATTACGTAGCACTGAATGCTTCTTACAGACACATCTTTTAATAGAACATTGTATATTCGATTTTTTACAGGAACATTTTAAATAACATTGGCCACCAAAGCGTGACAATTTTTGGCATATTTCTCTCATTATCATCATCATCACCAGCCCTTTTACGTCCCCACTGCAGGGTCTCAGGCCTTCCTTATGGATGGTTAAGGAGGATGGGCCATGACCCTCCACGCTGGCCCGATGCGGATTGGAGGGTATTAACGACTACAAATGCAGCCGGGACCAACGGCTTAACGTGCCTTCCGAAGCACGGAGTAGCTCGAGATAATAATTTGTAACGACAACGATCGCGGGCCGCGGCGCTTATCCACTACACAACCAAGACCATATTTCTCAAGTTTTCATTTGGTATAGGATCATTCAAAGTAATGTTTGAAAGCTGTATTGCATTTCTGGGTAACCAATCTTTCAGGATACCAACTGATGTTCCAATTTTATCACATTCATTTAGGTTTTCTAAAACTTTGTCCATGATTTATCTTTGGTATCTGTATAAGAACTGAAGATACCACATCAATGTCAGGAAATTTGTGTGATGAGTGGGTTTTCATTTTTTGTGCGGCTTTTCTTAAGTTTTCGGCAGCTATTTCACTAAACTTAATCTAGTAATATAAGTATATCACTAAACTTGGACCGCTTTATAACTATATTCCTAGTGAGATAGTAATGAATCGCTTCCTTATAATTATGTTACGGTATATAATTATATCCCTAGGGATATAACTATATTACGGCTTTATCTATCTTACTGCGACAGATACACAAGACGGTTGATAAAACTTTTCTATGTACACTTTTGTACATGATTAAATCGATCGGTCTTTTCGTATTTGAGAAAGAAAAACTTGTTGTTCGATCGCTGATGTTCTAACACGGCCGGTGTCCAGATTGGAAGCGGACCCGGTGGCGCGGCACATACTGTCGCGCGCGGTGGCCTCGCCGGTGGAGCTCAGCTGCAGGGCGGACGCCAACCCCGAGAGCCGCCGCTGCGGCGCGCTGCGGTTCCAGTACAACCCGGCGCCGCACTGGGGGCCCGGCGCCAGAGCTATACTCAAGTTGGTATTAGTACAACACTACGTGCATTGTCATCGTTCGATACTATCCACTACCGAATGATATTGACACTGCGATAATGTTAACCAGTTCAAGTCCCGTTTTTTTTTTTTAAATATTTTATGGACAAAAAATATTATTCTTTTGATGAATTCTTGCAAAATTACATGTTCTTAATTATTTACCAACCCGTAGATGTCGCTACGATTTCTCCATTAATTAATTTTCAAAAATCAATAAATAACTTTGTAATGATATCTAAGTTTCAGACTTTGCAAATTTCAGTTTTTTTATATGTAAGTTAAAAGAAACGAAAATCTTTGGTCTATTTGTATCCTGCAAAAATCAGCTTTCCCTAGAGTCGCCATCTAGTGGAGGTGCTTTTTAGTGCTTTCTTTTTTTTTATATACTTCCTCATTAATTTAGGTACTTTATGTGCTAAAATTGATTCAATTATTTATATATTATGTATTGAATATTACGATTTACGATATAATGATAAATTATATTTTATTGTTCGCAGTATTGGAGAAGAGAAAATGTCAAAAGCGTTACGCAATCAAAATAAGAATTTGAAAAAGAAAAGCCAGAAGCGGCAACATTCAGAAGGCGAAAATGAAGTACGAAAAAAAATTACTTTAGAGCAACAGTTGACAAACGATAATGGTTGTAATTAAAGAAAATTAAATAAAAATATTTAGTGTTTATTTTAGATTCAAGTTCAATTTAAAGAGTAAAATATGTTCGTATTGCGTACAGAACTGACGAGCAGCATCACAACATGTTTATTATTAAACTTTTGACCCCCTCGTATTTATTCCATACAAACCTGTCAAATTTGGCTCATATATTGAAACCCGCGACATACGTTACCTTTAATATAATACGAAACTACAGCACCGATTTTAAAAATATGTAATAGTTTTAAAAATTTCACTTACGGGTAGCTTCATCATATGCGGCGGTCATAGGCTATATTTTTTCTTTAAAAACTGTAAATAAAGAGAAGTGGAAGTTTGTATGGGAATTAAAACGTATATCCGTGTCATGGTATGACACCTTATACAAATGAATTTTAACTTACTTTTTATCCTACTAAACAGTTCCTAAGGAACCATGCGAGCGAAGTCGCTGGCGGAAAGTCGTAGGTCAGGTAAGAAACTACCGTTTTATTAAAGTGAAGTCAGCATTCAAGACATATATTATAATATTGAACATTGCTCTCATTTTACATTTATATTCTTTTATGTGATAAATAAAATATATGGAATATTTATGCAGCCTCTGATCAGTTTCTTTATGTTTAAATTATCGCATGCTAGCTCTCCGAGTATACTAGAGATACCATTACCCATTTCTTTACATTAATTTCGCAAAAAAGATATGAAATGCCCAATTTTTAAATAGAAAGCGAAGGGTACAAAATTTTGTACAATTATTAATTACAGAAAGATACCAATTTAAAAATTTACTAGTCTTAGCTCTTAAGCGATAGATGGGTGCTTTGCTCTCCATAACCCTTTTCCTTAGTAGGACCCTGGCGCTGATAAATTTTCTTTTTCAAGTCTTTTTCTTTGACAAATACCTATCATTATTATCAATTTGAAATCAATATTGATGCAAATAATAATTCATAAACTGATTTAGTACCATAATGTAGTACTGGAGAACCATAGTTAAAAAATTTCTGAACGAAATGAATGTATAATCAACCAAATGTAAAAAAGTCTAAATATATAAAACCCAACATCTATCCCACTCTAACAACTTGCAAATTCTGTTTAAACTAGCGCTCAACATAATTTGACGTTTGATTATTATCACCTTTTCAAATTGGTAGCATATTAAAATGACGCACAATGCATTTACGAAAAGTACAACCAAACCAGCAGATTGTTTGCAATTCACATGGGTGATATAATTTTATTGAGTGTTTTCATTTAAATTCCAATTTATTGGTGATAATCAACCCATTTTATTGCAAAATAACGAATTCTGGGATTTATATTTAAGATTAGATTTTATCTCTGAACTACTTTTTTTACAACAAATGAAAGTGTTTTGTGATTAATACGCATTGTTTTGAGTGTGATATATGATGTTTCCTTTGAATATTAAGTCATGTATTCAGATATTATCACTTATTTTTGCTTTGTCAAACGTAAACGGACAAGATAGAAAGGTGAGATAGTATTGAATCTTGTAGGTAATCACGAGAAATACATAACATTCTGTCAACCAGTTTTTGGTGAATTCAAGACCATTTTTACTTTCTTTTCTTTTTTATTAGTTTACTTTAACAGTAGTAATTTTTTTTAAACTTAGAGTGTCACTACTATATTTGATTAATTACGTATTCATAATACTATACTGAAAATATTCTTAATGAAAAAGTTATAAAATCCACAATTGCGAAAGGTCATGGGTTCGAGTCCCATCTTAGTGTTCCGGGGACAAAGTGGTATTTTTGAGCATTTTTCATTAAGAATATTTTTCAGTTTAGTATTTTTATCATTATGAAATAGAAAAAAAATGCATAATCGTTATGTGATTAATATAACGCAAACTTACAGATAAATGCGACGCTCTATCCAGGGTGCCAAGTTTGCACAGAAAATGACACCCTCATATATATAAGAGCAGAGGGCACTCATGATACAATACATCAAATATGGGACTTTACCCGAGGTATACCTATGGTGATCCTTGCTGTTGCTGGAGTCAATTCTTCAATGAATATAACATGGAAACACACTAGGCCAGTCAATTTCACAATGTCTGAGAATCCCAAGTATAGCTTTTCTACAGCTATAGATAAGGTTAGTCTAGTGAAACAGTGATTTATTCTATAATGCAACACTAAAAAAATTTACATTTTAAATTGGAATAATATGTTATTTATATATATGAATAAAGAGATGATTAGTTAGACTTCTAAAAACTATTGTATGATTTAATAATTGCCTATCCTTTTTTAACATTGAGCTAGATTAACTGTATTTTATGTGTTGCTGTATCATTAATATTTTAAACAATAATGATAGTATTCATAATTTATTATAAAGAATTTGTGATACATACAAATTGAAATCACATCAATTTATTGTATGAATAAACAGACAAAGGCTAGAATAGTCTTAAACAAAACACATTGCCCTCATGTAATTTAATACCAATGTGATGTGACATCATTATACTTGTGCTGTGTGAGGTTTCTGTTTAAACAATATATGAAATTGCATGAATCATTAGGTATTATTATCAGGTGTATACTTTTATTGTCTTATTTTCTTTAATTTATATATTTTTTTATGTATAATTTTCATAGTTAAATATTACTGATCATAATTATTTGATATTATGACACAAAACAGAGTATCTATATTATGGAAACAGTAAATATTTATTTATTGATTATTATACAATAGACAACAAATGGGAACCTATTTCCTGCTTCAATGTATGACTTATGTTTCTCTTATGCCATACTTTATATTGTTTGGGAATTTATTTATTGCTTAATTGTATTGTTGTTTATGTTTATATTACATGTAGATAGTTTACAGTTTCGAGAATTACTATTACTTTATTTTCAATACAAAGTAACATATTCATAATTTTAGTATTTTGAGTAAGATGTAATTTTATAGATAGAAAATATTTATAAGTAATTTAAGACTTTGAATATGATATTGTCATTAAAAATTGACCCCAAGCAAACTTTTATGGTAAAATATCACATAATATGTAATTTTAGTTCTCCTTACTTTGTTTTATCTATCTATACATAGTTCACTCCTTCAGTAAAATATTATTCTATCATTTCAGTTGTATGAATATAATGACATTCATGACAAAGGATACATTGATGACAGTGATGGCCCATGGCGCCCAGTCAGCCTCTCAGGGACAAAATGGTTGCCACAGAATATGGTGCTCACAGATCAGGAGGTAATGGTGCAGCTAAGAGGTTATGTCAGTGACCATGGCAGAAGCGGTATTATAGATATCAAGGTAATTCATAATTAATTTAATAGATTATAATCTATTAAATATAGTAAAGCAGTAATTTGTTGATAAATACAAACTGTTGTATTCTACTGTATTCTGATGTCCTGCCTGTAGGGGTAGTATGTAGGGCCCTTAGTAAATAATCATCAGCCTGCTGAAGAACATTGCTAGATAAAGGTCTCCCACAATGTATCATACAGGGGGCTAATGCCCATTGCTATGCTGAGCAAACATTATCATCAAAACATGATTTATTGTCATCTCCATAACAATACATGTTTTGAAACCTTGTAGATCTTTCTTTCATGGTCAATCTGTAAGTTAACTAATAAATTAATATGATAAAAACAATAACAAAGGTACTTTCTTCATTTTATATATTTGTTTTATTCAATTGCATAACTACAGATCAAAACTGTGTCAAGGCAGTCAACTTGGAAACGGGCACGAGATAACAAAACTGCATTGCTTTTTAAATAAGTAATTACATGATATTCTTTATCTGTGTACTGTACTTGTATTATACTGACCTTTGCACATGTTTTCTGATATGTGCATATATAATATGGGAGTTTATATATAACAGGATGTGTTGAGTATTTACACTTTTGTGTTTCGAGCCTAGAATTCAAACCCATGTCCTTTTTCAAATTATTAGATGCTATTAACGCTAATTCCCCTAGGTTTTTAGTAACCCCCTGACTGGGAAAAAGTACAACCATACCCTGTGCCTTTCCCAACTGGGGGGGACTAGGGAGATCCCTACTTTGACAGGTGTAGCTGTCACGACGAATACGTCCGGGTTCCAGGGTGCCCAGTGGGTACACTCACTCCCATTCGCATTTTCCCTGGGTCAAAAAAGTTTTTAGTTACCTGTATCACATGATTTCAATCAAAGGTTGCATTCCTCTTGACTTTATATTTGGGATAATTAACCTATACAACATAGGCCACTTAAGTATCTCGATATAATAAGGAAATCAGACAGTTTCCTTAGTATAGTTAGTGTACCACCGAATCGCGGAGTAGCAAAGAGTTCGTAGCTTCACAAGGCACCATCTTTAAAAACCTTATGCGACAGGTGGATATGCTGCCGTTCAGAGACTACGCGGTGGAGCTGCCGCACCTGATCCACTCAGCCAACTCGTCGCTGTTGGACGTGAGCCTGGTGAACCTGACGCGCAGCCGCGACTTCAACTCGTCGCGGTTCGCGCTCAACCTGCTGCTCGTCAGCCAGCAGCGCGGCAACGGCACGCTGGAGACCATCGTCAGGAAGAGCTTGGACGATGAACACACGCCCGGCATATTCGAGGTCACTTAAAAACAAATACAGGCAATCCTCGGTTTTACGTCATGTTAGGTAGTAGAGACGTAAAACGAGACACATTTTTCCATACATTACATTCCCTGGCGGCATTTTAACTTGAAAATAGGTTTTTGTTTTGGAAATGAGTCTCTGACGAGAATTAGAAAAAATAATAGATTTAAGTAACGAAACATGTAATTTTGAACGTATTTAACTTTTTGAAATCAGAAGAATTAATTAAAATTGATATTAATAATAAAACAAAGCTCGGTGGCGTAGTGGATAAGCACCGCGGCCCGCGATCGTAGTCGTTAAGCAACTCTCGCAAGGGTCGGTCACGGGATGGATGACCAAAAAATTATTATCTCGAGCTACTCCGTGCTTCGGAAGGCACGTTAAGCCGTCGGTCCCGGCTACATTTACAGTCGTTAATACCCTCCGATTCGCATCGGGCCGTGCGTTGAGGGTCATGGCCCATACTCCTTAACCATCCATAAGGAAGGCCTGAGCCCCTACAGTGGGGACGTAAAAGGGCTGGTGAAGTGAATAAAACAAAAAATAATAGCTACGGATATGAATGAACAGATAATGGAGGTGTCGTGTGCGAGGGCGCAGGGGGGCGGGTTCGTGCAGTTCCGGCCCGTGTGCTACACGCAGCGCGCGCGCACCGTCGCCTCCTCCGCGCGCGCCACGCTCTCCGCGCCCCGCAAGTAAGCACATGTTTCTCATTCAGGGCTGCCATCTGGCATTTTAATTTTTATTTATTTACTCTACAAACTTAATCTACGATCATACATTAACAATACACCACATCGTTCAGTTTGTGAGAGGCTGATGCCTAACAGAGGTTTTGATAAACCTAACCTTATAGGTCACCAGGTCCCAAGGATATGTATAACACAGAAAATGCATGGTTATCTGAGTTCAGTGATGATGGAAGATTAGCAAGAATCGCACTTTTTTTATCAATTTAGAGTAAGGAAAATAGAAAGTATATATAGCACAAATGCAAGAAGGATTATTTTTTTATGAATTACATATTATGAATAATTATGAATAATTCTCAAAATTTTGTCATAATAATTTTGTAACTTTAAAGTTTTGTTGATTTATTGCAAGATTATCGTGAAAAGGTAATTTATATGTTAATATTGAATTATATGGAAAACAAAAAATTATGAAAAATTTACTTTGTAATAGCCAAAACTAATTATTAAGTAAGCAAAGTAAGCATTCGATATATTTATTTTTAATAATATCTCGGCCATCCTTATTTTGGAAACCATAATAGCAGTTGCTATTTTAGTCAACCATAACACGACAAAGCTTGACAACAACAAAAATTGTTTGCGATCTCAATGGGACCTAATAATACAACTTAATAAGTGTACCTATCATCATGTATCATCGACCAGTGTTTATTTGTTGACGGTACAGATTTTTGAACACTTTTGGCGGCCAGGCGCATTAGCAATATTCGGCGATTATATCACTGACAGATAGTGCTAGGTTCGCCAGATAATCATTATAATAGTAATAATTTATTTATAAAATATACAAGGTTTCCGGTTGGTAAGCATAGCCTAAAAAATTTTATAATTAGATGTAAATGGTACGAATTAACAGACATAAAGTTGGAATTTTCTTTGAATGACAGCCCTGTCATGAGTTTTTACAATGATAAATTCCTCATCAGCGCTTCGATCCCAGAGCGGAGTACGTTGAACGCGTTCTATCGCGGGTTCGATCCTACAGAACTTCTGGTGAAAGACTTGAGAGTGTCCTTCGGGGAACCCGGCGACGGATTCTACGCACATCATAACTATACCGCATGGTAAGTAAGGATAAAATATTTATCTATTTCTTGTTTTATATCATATCCTTGCTTTATGAATCATATTCATCTTGGTGAATAATACCAATGTATTATTATTAAAGTATTACCAAAATTATTATTTTATGTAAAATCTGTTACTCGCACACACGAACAAAGTTTATTAAAAAATTCCAGTGTATATAATGCGTAAGCTGTATAGATATAGAAGTAAATTTATAAATAAAAAATATATTTTTCAAAATTAACTATCATAAATTTTTTCATTATATTAAAAGATTTTAATTAAACACTTATACGTTCAGTTGCACAAACGTCCATTAAGGTTTAATGACGGCTTTAAGCTCTAATGAATGTCAAAATTGTATGAGTAATGTCACTTTAAACTAAAGAAAATTTTAATTGACGTTTGTGCAACTGGCTGATAGCCTTATAAATATGTATAAATAACCTCCGTTGCCGAGTCGTTCGCACACCGGTTTCAAGGTGTCGCTATCTCTGAGGTCCCGGGTTCGATTCCCGGTCGGGTCAATGTACAATGTAAATGAACTTTTCTATTTTGTCTCGGGTCTGGGTGTTGTGGTACCTTCGTTGTCTCAGATACTCCATAATACGGGGGCTTTAGCTATTCATCTTGGAATGTGAGCAATGTATCTGATGTTATATACAGCGTGTTTGGTAATACCTGTATAATCCCGAATATGGCACATACGGTATGATGAATAGAACCCAGAAAAATGATCACTAAGACTGGAACCCAGCACATGACCTAGATATTCAGCTCTTTTTCTTCGAAGTAAAACTGTACGCTGACAACCCTAAAAACAGCTGTTGTGTTGTATTTGGTCATCGTCTCCATGTGCCGAACTAGTTTAAAAAATAACAGAAGTTAAATAAATCTAAAGATAAATGCCTAGAATAAATATGCATCTGAGAGGAATTTATTATTTCCAAACAAAGAAAAAGTTAGTAGTAAATGACTTTTAACTATAAAAAAACACAAATCTTGTGATTAACGGTGTTTCAAAAACTATTAATATGAAAACTTCTGTATTAATACAGTCAAAATAAAAAAGAAATTGCAAATACTTTGATTGAAGTTCAATATCTGCACCATTGCTCACATTAGTCTATGCAAGAAGGAGCGAGAGAGACATAAAATCGACGACGATGTGTATTGAGAAACTCGGGTTTCTGATGTGTCAGTAAGGTTCTGTAGATTATTTGCTTTGAAGTTTTGTTATTTTTTTCATAAAGCCGTGTTATTTTCACGAAACAATAAAATACGGACTTATACAATGATATTAATAATCTAAGTATCTCTCTTATTCTTAGTTTAAATGATAATTAAATAAAGGTTAGTTGTAATGGAAAGGTCTAATAATAAATAATATTTCTTGACGCGGAACCCCAAAATCGGTACACTTTTGATTTAGTTACATTGGTGTTCGAGTTGCAATAATAATAACCTATGTAGTTTTGGTCATCGCGTCAGTCACGTCCGTGACTTTCATCGGCGTACTTGTGAGTTTTCAGAATTTAGAAGGTCAACTTACGTTTTCGTTCTTTCGGGACTTTTGGTTTGTTTTTCATTCTCGTTCTGTTTACCTGTGTATTATGTTTGTGTGCGGTCAGTGCAATGAATTCGTACTCAAATGCCTAATATTACGAGATGATAATGTGTGGCGGTGCTTGTGACGGTAATCTTGCTGCGGCTCGGCGACGTTATGACGAGCGCCACGTGTCAGGAAGATCTGAAAACCATCGACGTCTTCCTTCTTACCGGTGATTCGCGGCATTTGTGAATTGGTTACATACAACTGGTTCATTCCATAGTGTGCCACAGGTAGGCCGGCCGATCACCTATTCCATCGAGACAGAGGATATGACTTTACATCGAGAGTAACACGACACGGTCTGTGTCGAGTCGAATGGAGATGTGTGTTTTATGCGGTGGCCGGCATATCGAGACCCTGGACTGATAAAGTGGAGGTGAAGTGTAGGTAATGTTGAGAAGTGAAGGCTGAAAGAGTGATTAGAACGCTATAGGTATGTACCTATTTAATCTTAAATTGTTTTAATTACAAGTAAACTCATACGTAGTCGAGTGCGCGCGTCGGACACATTAAAATGTATTCAAGGAAACGAGAGAGTGAGAGGTAATGAGAGAGAGAGAGAGAGAGAGAGGAAGAGCGAGTGCGCCGGGACGGCACGTGTAAGCTTACAGGGTTGTAGCATAGTAATTGAAAACAAATTGTTCAAATATTTGTATGAAAATATCAATTTACATGAAATTGTTTTTTGACCTATCAATTGTGTTCTTTGTGCTAGGTTGTATGGCCATGTTTCGGGATTATACAGGTATTACCAAACACGCTGTATATATTGAAAAGTAAGGCAGTTAAGTTCATTATAATCCCACTTTGTTGTATTAGCACTCTATGTTAATAATAGTCCAAAGTTACACTTGGACTTGTTGATTCCAGAGTAACAGAGTATTAACTTCGTTTTAGGAATGTTATTAATAAACATGGAGTATCCTCCGTTTAACAATACCTTCCTTAAGCCTGATTTAACGCGTGAGTTATGGCAATATATATGAATTTAAAAGTAAAAGGAATGAGTTGGTGAATGAAATAGAGCCACTTTGATGGCTGTTGCCTATATTCGCTGTCATACTTAGACAGACGCCAAAGAATAAAGTTTATTATGCTTTACTTTTTCATTCGTTTGAAAATGGAGTTCACCCATAGAGATGAATTTTTTAAAGGTTCAATAAGGATGATTTCTATCAAATGTTATTGTTTAGTTAACTGGATTTATTACCAATAAAACGCACATATATTATACAAAGAAATTTATATAGGTTATCATTTATTATAAAAATTAACTAACAAAATCGCAGTACAGCTTCTTCTAGAGTAGACGAAACGACTTTTATGTAATGATAGGAGCGGCGGTCTAGCAGGTTTAAAATATTATTTATTACCTCCAAATAATCTATTTCTGCTAAAACATTGAGAAAAGAATCTCAATCTATAATAATTTTATATAAAAAATGAATACGAATAAAAGCCCTGCGCAATTGAAATTACGACAAATATCAAAGCAAGCTATGATATAAAACCAATAAGTTTTTATACTCTTTGTACACTACGCCCTGCCTAATTGCTGGCTAAACGCACCGGGAGGGAGACGCACCCGTAAAAAGGTAACGCAAAAAGTTCGTCACGCCCCGCGCGCAGGAGCCGGGGGCGGGGTTAGAGGTCGCAGCGGGGAGCGGTCGTTGTAGCGTGTGTGCGTGCGTGTGCAGGTCGAGCTCGGTGGGCGTGGGCGGGGCGCCGCGGGAGGGGTTCTCCGCGCTGGTGGTGGGGCTGCTGGCGGGCGGGGCGGGGTGAGAGGTCGCAGCGGGGAGCGGTCGTTGTAGCGTGTGTGC